TGTCTTCGCGTGGTTTTGAGAACATGAAGCAAGGAAGCACTGTGGAATGCCCTCTTCTACAGAGACAATAAATAAACAAAAATAGATCTTGAACATTTGACAAAATAATGATGTGGAGAACTTGTCCTGGATCATCGGGCTGTCTTCAAGGGACGAGGACCTGCACAAGAGATGCCTCTTTAGCCTGAATACATTCAATACTGACAATTCTGTGAGTGTGTCTGTTTGTGTACCTTCAGCCTCCCCGAGGCAGAGCTCCTCGCACTCCTCCAGGTGGAGGAAGCGGTTGTCGTTTCCTTCGCATCCACTGTAGATGAAGGGCCTGCAGGCCTGAACCTGACTGTTAAAGTACCAGCGCAGAGTGTATCGTCCACAGTTCCCCTCCTCCATGGGAAGAAGGCACACGTCAGCTGGAGCTGCAGAACACACACACACACATTATGGGTGTGCACCGGGAGACAGAAAGACGCATGCACACTAAGAAAAGGGCAAACCAGGCAAAGAGGAGCAGAGGCAAAAGCAGTAATAAAGAGCAGCGGGGGACCCAAAACAAGCATTCCTGACCGCTGAGAAAAAAAAATCAAAAATCAAACAAACCGGTTTGATAATTTGACACATTCTGCAAATCATTAGCACTGATACATTATTTGTTGTTTTTGTGTGTGTTATTTTACTGAATGCATTTATGTCTTTAAGTCGAGAGCAAAACAGCAGACGCAGCCTGGGACAAGCAGAGGGGATCAGACACCAGGCAAGCAGGCCGGCAAAATGATTCCTTGATAAATCCCAGTACGGGACAACAGCACATGAGCTGGTTTACCTTCCCCTTTGACTCTTCTCTTGACTCTGACTGATTTGGACTTGACCGCTTTCAGAGGTGTAGCTTTGGCTGCTTTTTGACCATCAGCTCTTTTGTTAACAACAGCTTTGGCTGATTTGTTTGGTGCAACTGTGACTTTTTTGTCAGTTTCACCCTTGACAACCTCACCTGCACACACACACACACACACACACAGACACACAGCATGGACACGTTCAGTATGAATAGAAAAAAATACATTAATGTGATAAAGAGTTTAAAGTCTCCTTATCGTAATCCAAGTTAATATCAACAAAGTCTCTAAATGTCATGAAATGAGCACAAGTGAAATACACACTTAATATGGGACACGCTCTTCCTGCACGAATTGGATTATGTGCTGATTGAATAAACCCAAAAATGGCACATAGAAAGAAATTTGACACGCCATCTTCTGCTTATTACAGCAGATAACAGATAACTTTGGAGCATGCGAATAAATATTGTTAATGTTTGGATCATTATAATTAAAAGGGGATTACAGGTATTAGACAACAATGTATTCTCGTTCTTTTGACCTTGTTCTCTTGTTTGAATATTAATGAGATAGACGTAATGTCATAAGTAGTGCAACAAAGGTTGCTGGAGGTCGGATGTATGTACCCACCTTCCTCTCAAAACCCATTTGTCCACTGTGTTCTTGTAACGTTCGATTAAAAATCAACCTGTGGAGATTTGAACCACTTGGGTGTTTTCTTTTACGGTTTCAATTAGCTTTTTCAGTTGTCTCCCCATCATGTAGGTGTATCCTGTACGCTTACAGGGACACACTTTTATTAAAAAGAAGGAAAGTTCAATGGTTTATTCTTTGCAGGTCGTACAGAGTGCAGGCGGTCTGCATGAGAAGGAACCTCTCTTGCTTATCAAGGGCAGTCAAACATCTGTTCCCCCATTCATCTACTTCCTCGTGGAGGAGACGACCTAATTAACAAAAATGTGCTAATCAACATAAGAGGGTCCCCCCTCCCGACCATGTCTGACTTTTAATCATATTTTAGGAGGCCTAAACCTTTAGTGTTATCACAGGTGAAAACAAAGGTTCTCAGAGGAAAATCTGGCATTCACAAACAGGATGACAAATATTTATATAGATAATAGATTATATAGTATAGAACAAAAGTTGCCATCACAAAACCAATGTTTGATTTCAAATGATTTTATGAATAAGCTTTGCAAATGTAATCAAGTAGAAAAGAGTTATTCTCCTTTTTCAGGTGTCAAGCCGCCAGTGCTTCTTTAAAACCGCTCGTCCGATAGACGCTTATTAAAACACGCCACGGGGTACCTCACGTCTTCAAAGTGCTATCGGACACAGCGTGAACACACAGTACCATCGCTCTGGTTGGCAGCGGGAGGGAAGTAGAGCAGCTCGTCCGAGGGGTCGTCCAGGGCCTCGATGGAGTAGATGTGCTCGTAGTCGGGGTCGTTGGTGTTCACCACCACACGCAGCTCACGGCCTGAGAGACATGCAACATCAAACAGTTCAGACATCCTTCACCTGCGCCTGAGGATCGCCACGCTTCAGGTAAATGGAAGGTTCTGGAACATATTCACCGCTCCAGGAGCCTCTAAATACGGGTTAGAATAGTGAGCGAGGCTATACACTACCATTTGCATTGGCCTGGCTGAGCCTTTGGTAACACGGCATAAACATAAATGGAGGCCTCTGTTTTCTTAATGAGAAAACCACCCAGCTCTCCAGAACCAGCGCCACCAAATTAGACCTGTTTGTTAGGGACGGACACGCAGACAGACGGACACGCGGATCGAGGCGGTCAGGCAGAGAGACGGACGGACACACTCACCCTCCTCACCCTTCACGACCAGTTGTTGCTCTGGTGCAGGCCGAGCCCTGACCGGGGGATTGGAACGAGTTACGGGGCCTGAACCTGAGAGAGCCAGATAGGACGGGGAGCAGCGAACAGGGACACCGAGGGAGCGGGGACAGGATTTAGAGAGCGAGAGGTACCAGCTAAGCGTTAACATGATGGAAAACACAGATTGACAGAACATTCTGGTAGTAAAACCTTCCGACAGATGAGCCAAAAAAAAGCCAAAGCACCACAAAAATCATTCCACCGTTCCAGCATTCACACCAGCTGAAAGGATTTACAGTTTTTGCAGGACTGGTCACCAAGAGGCAATCTTCCAAAGACTGATTGTAATCCTTTACCGACTCAAGTCGCTTGCTGATTGAACTCGTGTCTCGAGTCAAATCAGATTCAACTAAAGACAGCAGCAGAGAACCATCACTCATTTGTATGTTAATGAAAGATGTATAAACAACTACTTCTGAAGTAACATTGAAAATAAATTATACACAAGGGACATGTTTTGGCCTTATTATCAGCAACACTGCATATTTAGTGAGTGCTGCTTGACAACTCTAATGAAGTATTGCATTGATTAACATTTGACAAGTTAAAAATTGGGGAAAGTTAATCATCTAATTGTCTTCAAATGAATTCCTTTTTAAAATGTTTAATGCTATTCCTTCGCGGTGATTGGAGAAAGTATGCCATCTAAAGTTCACATATCATACAATATAACAACGTTATTTTTGTGTGAATGATGTTAAATGATCATTTAAAGCACACACACACCCCTAATGAGTGAAATTGCACTTAGATACATTCTAATAAACATATACGCAACTGACGCATCTCAGTCCGTCTATGTCTCACTCCAGACTGTGCGGCAGTATTTGTGGTGCCGCTGTGACTCATGTGACGTCACAGCCCTTCTGTCCACCCTTCTCCCCACTACTGCAGCCGGACGGCTCACTCACCTCCACACGCTGAGGATCGGACAGATGGACAGGCAGGAAGCAGAAACAGAGGGAAGCAAAAAAAGGTCAGCTTCAAAAGCCGTGGCATTCTTGTACTTCTCCGCAATTTCCTTTTTATCCTACTTTCAAAGACTTTAGCTGAAGCTGTGACTCATATCTGAAGTTCAACTTGGGGACAACTGTGCTATAAATTAGCAATGCAAGATGAAAGACTCACCACAGTGCTGACTCATCTCTGAGCGAACATACTCTCTGACCTCATACTCCTGAACTCGAAACAACGAGGGGGGAACAAAGAAAAACCAAAAAACAACACACTTACAAACACAGCCCGAAAATCCGATCAGTGTAAAGTGTGTGTGTGTGTGACGTGTGATGTCCACATCCTTCAAATCGAAGCCCGCGGTAAGGCTCGAGCACTGACCGTCATGCCTGGCTCTCCTCTGTCTCCCTTGGCTCCATCTGGTCCCAGATCTCCCTGCAATATGGACACGTATTAGGACACAAAACCCGCTGAGAGGCTTGCAGCACATTAATTCATTAAGCTGAGAACAGGTGCAGCAGACAAACTAAATGGAAAGTCAAAACAAAAGATTGACAATTTGGACTTTTTACAGATCCGTTAAAAAAAGATTTCTCAGACTCAACATTCTTTGGGACTTAATTGGACCAAAAATTCAAATAAAGCTAAGAAACGTTAACAAAAGGAACCAGTTTGGGTTCATACGAATTCAGCAATGAAACACTTTTCATTTGGCCCACTTGAAAAATAAATACTGAAACTCTGATGGTAAAATTTTGAAATATTTTCGAGGATCTTCAGACTTGACAAGTTGTTTCCTATCAAAGACTATTGCCAAAAAACCCACCAGAAGACGAGTGTGTGAAACTCACCTGATGTCCTCGCTCCCCCGGGATCCCTGGGACACCACGTGGACCGATCAAGGAAGGACCGATTGGACCTCTCTCTCCCTGACGCAGATAAAACCACATTACAGCAACATACAGCACATCTGCAGTCTGCACACCAGTGGAGTAACATAACCTGCATTAGAAGTAACAATCTCTACATACACCATTCATGGAAAGGTGGTATTTTCCTGCAGAGCTTCAGTGAATTGCGGTCTATTCTTCAAATAAGCAAGTACTGTACACCTTAAATCCTCACACAATATGTAACAAGGGGTTTCGATCTGATGCACACGTCAGAGCTACAGTCAATATGACTATAAATATGACTATGCAGTACTGGTCCCAATGTATTTTGTCACAGCATGATTCATTTTGATTAATTTTGTAATGTAAATTGCTTTTCTATCTTATCAACAGATCAGATGTTCAGAGTTTCTTTCAGCTTACACCAAAGCAAAAATATTGTTTTTGGAAAATAATGGAAATGGGTGACTAAAGGGATCGTCTCAGTTTTTAATAGCGCGCCCATCAAAGAGACTAGATATGGCCCCGCTCTCTTTCACCAGCTTTCTTTCTTTGTTTGATGATTATTCGGAAGACAAGCCAGAAGGGCCCATCAAACTGTCAATCATTATGATGAAGAAATACAGAGAAATCAAACCAAACGAGAAACAGGAGAACAAACTAAGGAGAAAAACAAAAGTCTGTTATTTTAATAGAAGTCTTAAATGCTATTCCTAGGGTGCCAACTCTCAAAAACAAAAAAGTTGATTTTTGTTGCCACTCGCACATCTTTTTGTGTTATTTTGTGCACTCACAGTTGAGCAAATTAGCCGTTATTCTTGCTTTCATTCATTCCTCGACTGCCATGAAATGTGTGCACACTCATACTGGATGGTGCTCCCATTAGCCGGTGTAACAAAGGCTTGTTGAATTGTCATTACATCCTATCTTGTCTCTTTAAAAGACATCTGCCTCTATAAAGTGGAAAGCTGCAGAATTAGCCACTATCTAGCCAAAACAGGAATTGTCACCTTCTGTCCCTGGAGCCCCTCTGGGCCTTTAGCACCAGCTGGTCCCTGAGTCCCACTCAGGCCCGGGGCCCCATCCACTCCTCTGGGTCCAGGAGGACCAGGCACGCCAGAAGGACCCTACGTGAAGCACAGAGACAGTTAATTATGAGTCGAACGGTGTCCTGGTTGTACCTCTGAGGATAGGCCGCGTTGCCTTCCTGGTAATACTTACTGCACACAATATAGAGATTAGGTACGGCATGTAAGCTGACGCCGAACGGCTTAGTTAGACACTCACCCGTTCACCTTTCTCTCCCTGAGCTCCCTTGGGTCCCGCCAGGCCGTCAAATCCGCGGTCGCCCTAACCAGGCAAAGAAAACACTTTGCATTGGACACATGTATAGTTAGTGAGTTAAAGAAAAGTTCAACAGCAATTACCTTGGGACCGAATAGTCCCTCTTTTCCAGGTGTCCCTGGGGCCCCAGAAGGTCCGAGTTCCCCCTGGAAAACACACAGCGCACGTCTGCAAAGAAATCTCAAGAGCACACAGAGGCCTCTACTGTAACACGTCTGTTTGAAGTGACTCATACCTGATCACCTTTTCTTCCTGGTAAGCCGGATCGCCCATGAATACCAGCGTCGCCCTGAAACAGAAAGACTCAATTCAATTTCTAAAGTAAATGACTCATACTCACGTCTGACTTATTAAAAAGGTAGTTATTCAAGAAGCTTTCATCTTTTGATTTGACTGTCCCTGTGGACAAAAGCACCTCCTTCCGCTGGAGTTTTGACTGCAGGACGAAGGCGTCTGTAAAGCGGATCTGTGGAAGACGGGCTGGACGCTAAACGTCTGAGCTAAACGGGTTTCTGCTTAACGTCTGTGGTGTAAATTGTTTCGTCTGGTTTCACGGGTGAATGAGGCCGAATAACAGCATTGAAAAATAACATATTACCACAGGTAGGGGGGAACCAATCCGAATGATTCAGTCCACATATTGATATATACAGAAACTTTGTGTGACTTCCCATAACTGCTACCAATCAAACTCCAGTATTTCATATAATAAGCTGTTTGCTTTACTCTATGCTCAGTGACTGAGGTCATTAGAATTTATGAATGGATCATTATTATTCATCTACTGAATTGTTATTTATTACAACGACAATATGCAAGATAAGATCTGTCACCTAAACCTGATCCATCTATTTGAGTCAGAATACTGATCTCTGTCATTGGTTTATTGCTGTATCTATAATCCCTACACATAATAAAGAGAGTCTTACACACCACAAGCCATTAGCTTCTTGGTTCACTATTGGGACACAATAAATGCCTTGTATCAAACTTCCATTGGGTGTAAAATCACCACCATTGAATTTATTCATCCTCTCCTCTTTCTTCTCCCAAATCAAATGTTCTCGGTCTGTCTTCACCCCACCTTGTCTCCTTTTTGTCCATCATTTCCACAAGCACCCTTGGGTCCTCGGTCACCCTGGAAACACATAAGTTCATCATTGACAAAGAGACAAGAGGCTCCAGACCAGTCGGAAAGAGAGGCCTCCCATTGGGCCACGGCAAACACACACAGACACGCACACACACACACACACACACACACACACACACACACACACACACACACAGACACACAGACACACACACACACGCACGCACACACACACACACACACACACAGACACACAGACGCACACACAGACACACACACACACACAGTGAACATAACCCAGCTTGTCCAGCTACTTTAAAACAGCACGAATATGACAGATCCTGATAGTGGAAGTTGTCTCATACCGCTGTGCCACATCCACATGTTCATTTGATAGCACTTTATTCTGTAGATACAGATGTTGTCGTGTTCTCCCAAGATGTTCGGTCTAACGTTACAATCACTGTACTATGCGAAGAAGTATGTTGGTGTGCAATGTGCACACTATCATTCTAATAGTTTGCAAAATGTTTATGTTTTTAGAAAGACAGCGAGCTGAGATGATCAATTTCAGTCTCAGCTGATGAAACAGCTGACATATGTGACATACAATTTGGCCAATCAGCCTCTTTAAATAGACCCAGCCCGGGGCAACACTGGTTTTGACCCAAGCTTGCGGGTTCTCGTCAAAGCTAGTACAGACAGGCAGATGACATTCTAAAGTAAAGATTAAAGAGCATGGATCGTATCCCCCTTTCAAGCAGAGGAGACAACTGACATAAATACTGTACATATTATATCACACAGATTATTATTGGTTAATTTTGTCAATTTTCATTAAATCAACCTGGGTGGGGTATTTGCTGAAATTCGATTGCCCTGCATAGAACATTTTCCACCAGCTGCCGCTGGTTGTGTTTGTTGGATGCCTTCTGTCTGTACTTTCTCCAGCTATAAACCGGTTTAAAATAGATATTTTTCTCAATAAGAGATAACCTAGTAAAGCTTATCATAATGAAAAAAAGAAATCTAGCTTGCCCCAACACACCTTGGATTGGTTCAGTAATTCAAATATGATTAAAATGAATAAATGAAGTGAAAGAACAATGGGGACTTCATTCCTTCAGAATGAGCTAACCCTGCTATTAATACTCCTAATAACAGGGTGAAAGCAACGATTCTACATGGATATCTTAAATTGAATCCTCTGCAATTATATCAATGTTATGCCAGTATTGATTTGTGACCGTCATCATCGTCTGAAGAGATGCTTGAAGGTTGAAACCACACAGTATCTCAAGCACACAACTCAAAGAAAATACCTTGATTCCTCTCATTCCTACAACACCGAGCTCTCCCTTCTCCCCCCGCAGCCCTGGCATCCCGTCTTTTCCTCGTAAACCCTGGGAGAGAAAATGAGAAAACATCCCTCAGGCTGTCCACCAAGGAGATAAAACCACACACTGAAAATACAAAATATATATTTGGATGGGAATAAAACAACAGACCGATTCACCAGGTACTCCAGGTTGGCCGGCTTCTCCCTGCAGGTAGATGCCATAATTATAGGGATTGAAGCAGAATCATTAAGTCTACTGAAAACTGACTAGATTTGATATTCATTCTCATGCTGATTTAATCACGACAACCCTCCATGCTCAGCGTTACTCGCCTTTTGTCCACCAGGGCCACGGGCCCCTGGGAATCCAATGGATCCTCTTTCTCCAGGCTCCCCCTGCAGACCCTGATATCAAAATGCACACACACACACACACACATACATACACACACACACACACACACACACACACACACACACACACACACACACACAGATTTATGCATATCGATAATTTGTAAAGGTACTATGGTGGCCTCCTTGTAATGGCAACATAAGGATATTGTGTAAATGTCATCTTTTCCTTGTTGCATTATACTTCGATGAATAATTTCAGCTAAATCAATCGATGTGCCTGCTGACCAGAAAATCATCATTGGTAACCACAGTCAAATACATTCAGAAGACAAACACATTTACCTGCTCCCCTCCAGGGCCTTCTTGACCTTTTACACCTTTTTCTCCCTGCACGCCTTTGGGTCCCCTGTCACTCTAAAATGAAACAATAGTGAGATCCACAACAAGAAAACTCAAACACACCCACTGTAATAACAAACAAGAGTATCTCATATTGGAAACGCATAATGGGGTTCACTGACTGTTTCTCCTTTAGCGCCCTTTTCTCCAGCAGGTCCTCCAACCAGCACCGTGTCCCCCTGTGAGTGTAAGTTCAGCTGTAAACATCTGGCTTCTCCCCAAAGCCGAAACATCAACAAACAATGTGTCATCCTGTAACCTTAACCGGCGTCACTTTCAGTATCGTAGCTCATTAACAATGTGCGTATTCATATCTCAAGAGAGACAAAACAGACACGCTGTGTCTCTTTAGAATATATTTTATTTCTTTATCTATTTTTGTGTCAGAAAGAGAAAGACAGCGCACTGATGGAGGCTATTTGATAATAAAATGCTCACACCTTCTCTCCTTTGTCACCTTGCAGTCCAATGTCCCCCTAAAAAAAGACATTTCATTCAGCCATGTCAATTTCATTTACCAATTTACATGAGCAAAAGACTCAGGCAGCCATGATGACACAAAGAAAGGGGAAAAGGTCTGGTAGTATTCACCTTCTCTCCCCGACCGCCACGATTCCCCGGAGGACCCTGATCACACAAACACACACACACATTATATCGGTCCTATATATACACATTATATACCTGGCCACACTGAAACCTTGGTCAGACAACATAACTGAAATCCCGCAAAATGTCATGACCCCTCCGGCGGTATAGTTTAAAGGGTGAGTACAGGTTGAGGTTGTTTTAAAATGATGGGTGCTGCAACACTAAACGAACATGCGAACACATCAATTTTACAATCTAATAAACTGTGTCCTTGTCAAGAACAGCTCTTCTATAGTAACAATAAAGATTCCTTTCTGAATGTTCCCCTTCATGTCTGCATACCTACAGGCTCCTGATGAATTAAGCATTCTGCAAAGCTTGAAGCTTTTGTTTATTGTAGAAAGCACTGGCAGGGCACCACAGAGTGTTTCATCCACAGTGACGCCACCGGCTCCTTTCTGAAAAGTGTGCAACAGGAAGCACCAGGAGCTGTGCTCTGAAAATAGATGCTGGGTGCAAAGCTTTTGGGGTCGGTGGCCAATTCTCTCTCCTCATTTAGAATGATTGAAAAGAGATTATATTGACACTGCCATAATGGAGAGGCTTTGTTCGGTGTATGTCATGTTACTGAGGGACGGATTAAAAAAAGGTATCAGCCTGTATTTACCGTCGGCCCTCTCTCCCCGTCCAAGCCGGCGCGGCCCTCCTCTCCCTAAGACGTGATGGACAGAAAGAGCATGCAAGCACACCAGTTTATATAACCCAGATTCATATTCAATGTATCGTCAGTGAAACACTGATGTCACCGTTGTCTTACTCTCAGCCCTGGTTCTCCTCTCTCTCCTCTGGGACCGGGGCCTCCGATGCCGACCTCCCCCTGGCAACAGAAGTAACATGTACACCCGTCAAAAAAAAGATCCATCATCATTTAAGTAGGGAGACAGAAATGGGTGTCGCTTGGATAGTCACCTTGTCCCCTTTGAACCCGTTGGTACCAGGAGAGCCCTATAAAGTAGTAAATCATATCATAATTCATCACTCGTTTGTTTGTGTTCATTTCCCTTTTCACTCTCAAACTTTGAACTTTTTTTAAATAACATTTTGACGTAGTAAACGGAAAAAGCATCTAAACTCACTGCCTGTCCAGGAGGACCAGCGGGTCCAGGGGGTCCGACATTTCCTGCACGGCCCGCAAAGCCCTGGAGACCCTGAAATGACCTCAGTAATTTAAAACCAATCACAGATATTAAGGAGAAGCATACAGTGCAGCGTAATTAGCGGCTGCACCAACCCTCTCCCCCGGTGGTCCAGGAGGTCCTTGTTGTCCAGTTTCTCCTCTCAGGCCAGGCTGCCCAGCATTGCCAGGCTTCCCCTGAAGCCCGGGAGGACCAGCTGGACCAGGAAGGCCTTGATCCCCCTGAAGTTGAGTCAGTGTTAGAATATGACCTTTCTCACACCTGATAGATCACACTTAGATGACTGATTAGAGAGGCAAAGAAATGCTGTAGATCACCCGACGGTTTACCACATGCTGTTACTCACCTTCAAGCCTTGAGGCCCAACCTGACCAGGAGGACCTGACTGTCCGATGCCTTTCTCTCCCTGCAAAGCACATATTGTCTCAACTGTCACTTGGATTGGATTTTAGGCAAATTACTAAAAACACATGACAGTAGCTTACCTTATCTCCCTTTGGCCCCGGAGATCCCTGTGACCCCTGCATGGAAGGCAAAGGTTATGTTTGACAATATCAGGTATTGGTACCATATCAATAAACCATCGCTTTTTAAAATAATAATATTAATAATTAAATTAGAATAATCTGTAGCCGTTAATGACTATGCAGGTTGTCATTACACTTAACCTTGTTAACCTTAGGAAACACAAATAATCAAATAGAGGAGATTAGTCACAATTAAAAGTGACACTTTCATGTAAGAGGGCCAGAGACTTTAATAACACTGCTGTAGAAAAATGGTTGACCAAGGTCAGATTAAATAACTGGACTGACCTTAAAGAGAAACAATTTGGAATAAAGATTCCTTACTTCAAATATGAGGCAAAGTATGCATATATTTACCAGCATGATTATACATTTCCTGCACGCTTTAAAAAAAATGTCTGCATAACAGAAATGTCAAACCACAAAAAACATTTAATGAGGATGTGATTACATAACTACGACTATGAAGATGTCCAATTTGGAGCTGATTTTTGCCGCTGATTAGCGCAACAGTCACGGGTTAAAGCAACCTTCACTAATATATGAAAGCTTCAGACCTTTGGGAACAATTCAAAGATATATGCAAAGAACAGAAACAAACAGTGGAAGCAGCGTGAAAGCTGGTCTCTCACATCTTCTCCTGGCTCTCCTGGTTCCCCATCCACTCCCTGTGGAGACAGATAACCTGATGTGAAAATGTTATCTTCACTATGAATATGTGTTTCCCTGCATCATTATAGCACTCACTCTCTCTCCCTTGTTGGCAGCAGCTCCCTTGTCTCCCCTGTTACCCTGAAAGACGGCAGTTACGTTACAGGTCCACTACACTAAGACTTAGCCCTGGATGCTTTTAGACGGACTCACCTTTTCTCCAGGTAGACCTCGCTCTCCAGTTGTGCCTGGGAGTGTTTGACCACTAAGACCCTGCATTGATCACAACCAGGAAAGTGATGTGTTATCTGCCTTCAGTTACTGCTTTTTCATTAATAAACTTTTAATAATTCCATTTCTGGAGTACGCCGCATTACCTGAGTATGTAACAGAATGAAAGAAAGGTTCAAGTAGCCACTTTGTCATTCGGGCCATTAACGGTGACTCACCCGCTCTCCTTTGAGTCCAGGGGGTCCAGCCACAGACTGTAACAGAAAATGGAGAAAATAATATAAATTACCTGCACAGCATAGTATTACATTAGCCATTAGGAGCTTTTATGTCCTTAATGTCTCAAAGTACAGATAAATGCACAACTCCTACAGCTGAAAAATTGCACTTCACCGCAGTCTGAGTTTGTCAACCCACACTTTTCTTCTCTTTAGGAGGCAACAGTCTTTCAACAACGTATTCAAGATAAAAAAGGATAGTATATAATAATATACCTATTCAATTGTAATTGACAATGACAAATGTTTTGACTGTTTTTAAAGTCCATTGCGAGTGTTGAGCTGTAAAATGTGATGTCACTTGTCACATGTAAGTGTGTGTGTGAACAAATGGTGGTTGCTGACCAAGCGTTTCTTTGTTACTCATCAAACTAGTGAGCTGACTGACGGGGTCACCGTGGCTCTGTCCAGGGTGCTGAACCTGTGGTTTATAAACATGGGCTTTGGACGCGTAACTCAACAGCTAAAGCTTCTCTAAACATCGGCAAATGGAAATAACATTGCTAACTGTTGCACATCTGTACAAGTGAGTCGCTGGTATTTCTATTGCCTTTCTAAATGCTTAGAAAAGTACCAAAAAAAGGAGAATGGAATGGAGTAAAAAGCAAGAAATTGTATGTGAGAATACATTCTATCATGACATTTGGCAGCAATCCTGATAGACTAAAGTGTTGCATTATAATAATCTTCCCTCAAGGCTAAAATGTTTAAATTGCTCTGTATTCGGAGACGGGGAATCTGCACCACAGCAACAGCATATTGCCCAGATACAGTGCAATTTATTTTACAAGATAAGGTTGGATGCACTCAAAGACAAGTGATGGTTTGGTAGTAGTTTATTTGATAAAAACTTGATAAAAATAATCTGATTGGTGCCGCCACAGTGCAGTGTCATAATATTGATGTTGTATTGAGCCAAAGGGAAGAACAGAGATGATTTTGGCTCTGTGTTCATGTGATGACTCCTGCAGAGGGAAAGATATGAATGCATCTAACCTTCTCTGTCATTTTACGTCTCACTGAGTTGAAATTTGGCTTAATTGAGATCTTCATCATCGGAATTGGCCCAGATGTATTCATGCTGAGCCAATCCCTATTAACAGATGTCTGCATACATTCAAATACACAGAATTGGCACGCAATTTTATATTTTAGTCAGTGCTATGTCAGTTTCCATGTAAAGGGACAAAATACAGTTGATCAGAAGCCAGACTTTAATGTGGGAGTATATTGTGGTCTTTTGTACATAAAGGGTAATGTTTGTAAATACTAGAGATAAGTATTAAGAACATCCAGTTCACTGATTTGACCTTACACATATTTATTTATTGCACACTATAGTGAATATTAGGATGATGAGTTCTTAGAAGCAGCACGGCACAATATATCCGTCGAGAGTCCTCGCCAGAGGCTTTTTCTTAAGATATATTTAATCCAGACCAGTCTTTGGCACTTGCAAAGTGGCTATCAATAGAACATCTATTTAACAGCCAATTATCCAAAAATGTAGGATTTAGCCGCAATTCACGTTCCTTGGTACCTACCGTGGCCCTTCAGGCCTCCACAGTCGCTTTCCCCATTTAGCTACATTTCTGCAAAAAGACTCAATGGCTGTATCGCAGCAGATAATATGTACATGTGAGGGTAGTCTGAACTAAGAAAAGAATGGCTAAATATATTCCTGACATGTGAAAAATTAGTGAGCAGGTGATAGAGAATTTTCTCTTTGAATGTCATCTTTTTCTTCCTTAACCAAGCTTAAAATACCAAGAAAACGGAAAAGAATTGTAATAATATCTATCAGATGTGAGAGTAATAATATCTATCAGATGTGAGAGCTCACTCACAGAAAGAAATGCAACTGTTGGTACCATGTACATCAGGCTAAATGAATGAAAACCAAATACTCAGAAAGGCTTTTATTCAGATCTTTTCTCAATTTGCCCAAATAACAAGAGGTAGCACACGATTGTACCATAACACAAAACTAATCATGTCCAATTTAGAGTTTTGTTGCCGACAGCTTTGTTTGCGTATGTAGACACGAAAATGAGAGATGAGATGATGAGAGCAGTGATGAGAGGAGAGATGAGAGCAGTTCATCTGGTGCAACTCCATCAAAGCAAAATGTTCTATTGCTTCATGTTGCTAAGTAGAGTGCAACGTCTGGATTCATTGATTCGTAAACACAATTTCCTTCTTTCCTGTTTGTATTAACGTGAACTACAGGCTACTGACAGATTCCCTCATCGATAGAATCTACCTATTCAGTATTTTTCAGTTTGAGAGCTGTAAGGAGCGCTGGTCTGGTTCCTCTCCCTGCGGCCTCGTGGCTTACACTGCCACAGCCCACCCAGAGGTATCATTATAATATCAGCTTACAGAGACAGCTATCAGCAGCATACAATCAGATAACAGCGGTACTCCCGGGCAACATTGAGTTGTGGACAAATTGCAAGGGACTGTCTCTGAAGCCCCAGACCCAGGTGGTCAAACAACAGCAGCCGCAGAACAGCCCCTGAAGGCCGACTAATAATAGGCATGAGATAGAAACTCTCACGACTGAAAGCTAATAATAATGCTACGGAAATGTTTTTTCCTTTTTCCTCCTTTTTCTTCCCTTCATGCAGAAAATCCTTCTGTAGTTGTGATCACTTGTGATCACACCAAAAAAAAGCCACCACAAAACCGATTTCACGGACTGCCCTTTTAGCTAGAGGCTGCTTGCTGCGTGGTAGCATGTTCTCACCTTCCCCGGAGGGCCGCTGTCTCCCTGCTCCCCCTTTAAGCCGGCGAGGCCTGGAGGTCCGGCAATGCCCTGAGGAAGAAATCACGCAATGATGACGCATAGGAGGAGATCATAAAAACGGTGCACAGTAAACATTGCATAAACAGTCACCTACAGCCATTGGTAGAGTAACACACACACACACACACACACACGCACCTGCTTTCCTGGTAATCCAGGTATTCCTTCTTTGCCAGGCACCCCATCTCTTCCAGGGACTCCTGGTTTACCTGATTCCCCCTTTGGAGCAGCACATACTTCAGCAGGTTTGATGTGTAATCACATGCATGTGCAGTCACATTCACAATGGAGTGCACTGCACAAAGTAGCAAATAATCTATTCATACAGATTCGTACAGTTTTCTTCAATCAACACCACACATCAGTTAACATGGGTCAATAATGGTGTCTATTATATCATTTTTTCATATTACTTGTATAATAGAGAGAACCGTTTCCAGCAAAAAGGAAACCAAGGAAAAGAAAAGAAAGAAAGTCTCTACAGTGTACATGACAGCTCGTTTTTCAGTACAACAAATCATACGTTATGTAACCTGTTTTTTCAAATCATGAACACAAAACACAGCTCAAGTCGCCATTTGTCAGCAAAAGCCTGGTGCACATGTTTTGGCCTTTTTATTTAATTACCTTTCCATTTTCAGTTATGAGTGAAATGCCTCAGGCTAAGATTTTTTTTCTACAATTTTACACTTCCTCTCAGTGCTCACATCACATACTGATCACATACTTACCACCTGGCCCGACAGTCCTGGAGCGCCCTGTGGACCCTGCAGAGGAAAAATAAATGCAGCGGTAAGAGCGAACACAATCTGATACGCACTATGAGATTCTTTTTAGGAATTTCCTGAGAAGACATGAAAGCAGTTTCTCCCTCGGAGAGAAGCAGCGGGGACACTTACTACAGCTCCTGGAGCCCCTATTGGTCCCGGCAGACCTGTGCTCCCCTGGGCCCCGGGAGGACCCTGCCGATAAGAGAAATAAACTAAATAAATGTGCTCTGAACACTCACAGTTTGCCACAGTTTGATTTGGTATTTGGTGTATTTAACCTCAAATACTCAAATATGTAAAATATCACTGGGGTTGTTTCACCTTGACGCCAACGCCTGGATCTCCTTGATTACCCTGTGAGAGACACAAACGTGTTAGGATTTGACCCGGCAAGCACACACGTGCACACTGAGATGTTGCAATTAACTCACCTTCACACCTGGCGGACCTGGAAGCCCGTTGGGACCCATGGGGCCCTGATTGAAACACATAGCGGCAACATTGTGTAACAGCTGCTGTTGAGAGTCTGTGAATGTGTATGCATGCTTCATAATGCCTGTGATACTTACAGTCGGCCCCCTAATTCCAGGCTCTCCGGGGTTTCCCTAGAATTAAAATACAAGTCATGTGCCGTATACTCACATCCTAAAATACTAAAAGAGCACACAGGCCATTTATTTAAATTTTATATTTTGACATCTTAGAAAAGCCTGTGTTTGTCGTGAAAATGAACGAATGCTTCCAGTCAACATGCTACGTTTAATAGCTTCAGCTGTATATTCAACAGACAACTTAATTTCCCAAAATGTCAAACTATTCTGTAAACAACATGGGGTTTCTAACAAGAGTCTCTCTAGGAGACACAAATATACAAACTCATAAAACATCTGGCTGACTCGTAGGACAACATGAACACCAGAATCAACAATGTGGTCGTCTGTGAAGAAACGGTGGTGCGAGAGGGATAAGCACACAGCAGACAGCATCAGGAACAGCTGCATGCACGATAAGCAGACTCAAGCGAACTGACAACAAACTACTTTTTGGAGTCCCAAAAACCCAATTTCGTATCCCCCTCTACTATTGTACACTGGATCCTGGCAAGAGCTTCACCTAAAAATCACTTTCTTTAATCTCCTCCAACAAATATTTGGTGTCTTACATGTTTAAAAATGTATCCTTTGTGTTTGCCATCTATGATGTGGGGACAATTGGTGTTTATTAGCAATCCCTGTATCCCGGATCCCAGAAGGATGTTACCAATAAAGATGCATCCAGATTAAAGGGATGACATTTTCCTGCTAGGTAGATGACAATGTGTGCATCCTCCTGATGGGTGGTTCTCATCTCCTGTTGTTAAACACGGACACATCTTTCAAGCAGTTTCCCGTCTACGCCAAACTCCACTGGCGTCTGAAGCCTTGGTGCCTTTCACATTTGTGTGAACATCAGACACCAGAGGGACGGGTCCCCCCCAGCCCTCCCTCCCTGAAGCAAGCATGCCAGCAAGCAGCAGAGAACCTACCGGTCTGCCTAGAACTCCTGGGAACCCAGGCAGGCCCTGGAGAGGATAAAAGACAGGATGGCGGATGAGGGGGGGGGGGGGGGGTGAAGAGGGGAAACAAACAACAAACAAAAGGAAATGGGCAGGGATAAGACACTTCTGAGGAGCGAGAGGAAGTCAGCGAGTGAGCCGCACAGCTGCTGAAGGTTTCCCTTAAGGCCTCACAAAGCCACGCCCCAAAGAAGGGGGGGGGGGGAAGCGAGCCGTGTCAGCCAACCCGGTGGTCCGCTTTGAGGATCAAGCAAAAGAGGAAGCCCCCTTTGCCGGGTCGCTGGCTACTCACTGGTTGGCCACGAGGACCAGCGGGCCCTGTTGGGCCCTGCTCCGACATGGATGGAAGGAAAACACAAAGTTTGAGGCAGTACTTAATACCTCTCCTCCTACATTTACCAGCCGTTTCTGTTTGGGTTTTACGAGATCACAGCAAAGACTATGGGAAGGATAAAGATTGATTATTTTCAAAAAGCTGAGCGGGTGCATTGTGTCTTTCGTACGGACAAATACTCCTATGTTTAAATGCCAGAATACTGTGAATGAATCAATTATCAAGTATTATTATTAGAACAATATTGTAATTCTTGTGAGAAAAAAAGAATACACTTACCAAGTCTGTTGAAAAAAACATGAACTAAATAGTTACACATATGTGCCTAAACAAAGAATGTAATAACAATGAAATAACAAAAAGCAATGCTTATTGATGTATATCCAGTACTTGACACTTACAGGTTTCCCATCCTGACCCGGTTTTCCTGGTTCTCCGGGTGATCCCTAGAATGACAAAACAAAAATGGCATTTTGTATTGTTTTGTCATCAGGAATGTTGCAACAATAAGATCAAAATCAGATTTTCCTGCTTTACTGGACTGTGAATCTATTACAATACTCAGCTCACCTGTGAGCCATCACGTCCTGGTTCTCCAGACTGTCCTCTGTCTCCTTTGTCACCACGAGAGCCTGCAAAACCCTGCAAGACACATTAAATGTAGCTTGTTCTTAAATAGAAACATGTGACAAATGTTTCTCTGTTCTTGTGTAAATCTCACCCGTTCTCCTTGAGCTCCAGGTGCTCCTGCAGCACCGGCTTCTCCCTTCGGTCCCATACCTCCTGGAGGTCCTCTGGTTCCAGGCGTACCAATCAGTACAGAGTCAGCTGATGCTCCCTAAAGTAAATTTACACAATAATACATTTCTTAAAATGATCAAATGATCTCAATTCTATTATCTAAATTATTGTTATGTACCTTTTGACCAGGTGGGCCAGCGATTCCTGTTAGTCCAGTTCTACCCTGAAAAACAGAAGAAACAATTAGTTTCCTCCCACTACCTAGATGTGATGAGCCAAAATAAGAGATGTTGAACATGAACACTTACAGCTTCTCCTTTGTCCCCTTTGTCTCCTCTATCTCCCTGAAATACAAATATACACTATATAAGCCGAATCCTCTTCACAGACAAAATCTTGTTAACCAGACTTTCCCCAACTCACCCTGTCTCCCGGCCTTCCGGCCTCTCCTAGTTCACCAGCTCGCCCAGGAACTCCCGGTTTTCCCGGTTTGCCTGACTCTCCGGCGGGCCCCGGGGGTCCCTCTGGCCCTGGCTCTCCAATGGCTCTGCCTGTAGGACCAGTTGCTCCTGTGAGTCCTCGCTCTCCTTGATCCCCTTTTGCTCCTCTCTCTCCCTGAAACCCGCGGGAACCCTGGTGTACAAGAGGGAATGGAGGGAGATAAACAAATATACACCTTGGCCAAATGATGCGGGTTTGGATATATAAGATATGACAGCGGTCCCCATCAAGTCTTTTTCACCGCAAGCCTTAAAGATGCCTTTAGTCATACTTACGTCCGCACCAGACGGTCCTCTCGGTCCAGGTTCACCGCTGTCTCCTTTGTCCCCCTTCACTGCCCTCTGCACTAAGGGGATCAGTGGAATGTCCTTCTTGTCCACAAGGGTCTTCAGATCCAACACCTGTTGTGAAGGAAGAAAAAGTAAATGGTTGACGAGAGCTAAATAACTTTCAGCCACAGCCGCCTGTCTGTAGAAAACAGTCAAAGACCAGTCATTGGGATTTCATCACAGCAGCTGGAGAATCGCTTGTAATATCGTCATGTATTTCCCATATTCCAAAAAGGAAATGCATAGTATGTATTTTAAAATGTATTCACTTAAATCCTCTGGAATATATGGTTTCACTGTGAGGAATTGAGATAGCGTTTCATCTCCAAGTAAACTGAATGAGGTTAACAAACTCCTCCACACTATCGGGCAACCTTTATTTTTAGAAGTGCCAATTTAGTCGTAAATCCATCTGTCAGTGTTCTACATCTATGACATCAAGCCGCACATGCTGCTGTGGGTTTGAACTACATGCAGTCCTATTTTTATAAGGCCCATAAATAAAGATCCAATCCAATATTGGAAAATATTAACTCTGTTGATCTTCTTTTACCAGATTGAAGACATTTTGTTTTTAAACTAAATGAGTCAGTCATAAATACATCTAGAAGCTTTAAGAAAAAATAGACTCATGAAAAACAGGATGAATAAGATGATAAGAAAGGCTGACGCAGAGTTAAGTTGGGCCTTGAGTTTTAGATTTTAACATTATACTGATATTTGTGTATTTTTAAAAGGAATCTACAATTTGCCAAATGTATGTAAGACTGCACAAATTCATTTTGACATTTGATATATGCCCCAAAAAAATCTTATATCTAACTTCTAACAAACAATGCTTAGCGCTACACTAACAGACATAAGTGGGAAACTAGTGACAAAGCTTTTGGAAATAAGCATTAATGAAAGGTCTAATGTCCAAAATAAATGTGCTTCAGCGTCAGTGGGGAGGAATTACTCTTCATCCAAACCGAAAGACATTTCTATCTTAGAAAGGTCCGTCATGCTACAACTATATGATGTTCAGATCCAGAGAAAAGAATATTGCATATAAATATATCTCTTTATATTACATCAAATACTGAAAAAACTTTAGACTGTCAATGAACTAAAATGTTACAGGATCATTAAACTGCAAATCCTAATTGTGTGCCGGTCCACATACCTGAATGCCAAGATTGGCCAGAGCCTTTTGTACATCCTGGTGAGAGAAATATGCAAACAGTAATCAACAAAAATGAACAATATTGAACAGAAATGTCACAGTCACAGTCACAGTGATGTGCTGACATCTTACCGCTGCTGTGCCGGGTTTGCCGGGCGCTCCGTCCTCTCCTGGGTCTCCCTGCCGATAAAAAAAAGGTGTCATCACAGAATTTCACTCACAACACATTTTGAACAAAACATGGAAGGACTTTGAACTTACAGTTTCACCTTTCAGGCCAGCTGGGCCTCTGTCCCCCTGCAACAAAGAAAGTTAAAAGGTTAAGAGCCGCTTACAAATCTAGAGCAAACGGCGATAAACACAGACAACCACAACTTACTCGGACTCCCACAGCTCCAGGGATCCCAGGCACGCCCTGGAGGACAGACAAGGACAGAGCAAGGACAAGGATGAGGACAGATAAGACTGTGGCAGGGCTGCAGTAGCACACAGTGACAGACGTAGATAAGAACACGCATCTGTTCACACCGCTACATGTGCAAGAGCAACGCTGCTGGGGACGTCATGACCATGCGAGGAATAGATATCAGCTAGAGGTTTTTATTTGAAGTTTCTGTAAAATAAACAACTCTATGATGGGATGCAAAAGTAAACACATAATTATTCTAAGGAATTCTTATACTACACAGTAGCCCTGCGCACCCAACATTTCACTAAAAGCAGTGACTGTCATAGGCTATGAAAAAAACTGTAATTAACTGTAATGTCAGAATGCTGCAAAGTCATGCATACTCACAGGGGTTCCCGGGGGCCCCTGCGGGCCGGGGATTGGTGCCGCTTCAACTCCTTTAACGTACACCACCTAAGAGACAAGGGCAGCGTGTGGACATTGAAAGATGACACTAATAGTCCCAATTCATTATAGACTTCAAACGCCTCTACAACAGCTGTACCTGTCCAGGAGGACCAATGCTGCCGGGCCCTCCAGGGGGCCCAGAAGGGCCAGAGGGACCGACGGCCCCAGCAAGACCCCGGTCTCCTTTCTGCCCGTCTCGGCCCTGGAAATCAAGAGCAATTATACAACGGAGACTCTCTCTACACAGGGTTACTTCCTCCTGCCCTATAGTAGAGGCTGAACTATAAAATCAAAGCAGGTGGCTGCTGCCACCCCTCCACTGATGTTCTAGAGATAATTAATGAGAATTTGCACATGAAAACAGCACAGCGTTGACATTTGGTGCCTTCTAGTTTCTTGTCAGAAGGGGTTCCCCCCTTAGAGGCTTGATCATTAGAGGCTAGTGAATTTATATAGCTGCTTCTGAGAAGCCTATTGATTCAGCGGTGAGTGAGGGTGTGATGGTAATGTCAATGTCAGAGCAAACTACAGTTGATAAACACACACTGGAGTGGCAAATTGCAATGGGAAAAGGGAAAAGAGGAAAGTTGATTCATAAAAAAGAAAAGCGGGGAGGTAAAAGGGGGGCAGGTTTACCGGACAGGATACAAAACACAAAGAGATATTGAGGTAAGAGAGATTTGGAGAAACTGACATCTCTTCCTGCAGCTCCTGAATCTCCTTTGTCGCCCTGCACATCAAAGACAACAATGTCAGATTCACAAAGAAATACAGACAGAACAATCATTTTCATAAACAAATTCCTACAAAGACAATAGCCTCCAAATCTAGCATCTATCTAGACTATTGTCTCAATCTGTTTCCTTTATTTGCTGTTTTCCCCGCGGTGTGTCCTGTAGCAGCGTGCGTGGTCTACTGCGGGAGAGAACCGAAACTAATGCTGATGCTAATTAGCGTTGCTTGCTTATTAACGGACGCATTTCATTCCAAAGCAACCCAGGCTGACTCCAATAAGGTAATATAAGGTTCGCATCGACTCGTTATGTGCTGATGGAGCGCGTCGCTGCTACTATTTACCGGTCGGTCCCCCCCTCGGCCGGCACGTTGGGTGGGGTAGATCGCCATGATGTACCCCACTGATCTACACCCCTGTTGTAGATCATTATTCACAAACACTACTTTTTAAAATATGCTACACTTTAACACACCAGTCCACATTTGGTTCACAAGATTGTTCACATACATTTGTGAAACTTAAAAATGCTTTTGTTGGTCGGCTTAATCGACTGAATCCATTCTGTCGGCTCAAATGATCCAAAATGATGAACAGCCAAACAAACCTTTCTCCCATCTTCACCCGGCACACCGTCCTCGCCCTGCAAGTCAAAACTAAATGTAATACAGATTTTAACAAACAAAATAAATAATGGCCGGTCTGCTGAATGCGTACAATTAATTGCCATCGCTTCAGAGAGTCACTTAAGACCGTCATTATGCAGCAGACCCTGAAATAAATGTCCTCGCTGCTTTATTGGCTAGGCCAGATTAGAGAATGATAGAAACATATATACTGAAAGAAAAACAACATTCATATTCTGGTGTTGTGTCAAGTCAATAACGGTGTGCACTGAAGTACATCAGGGGATAAAAATGGGGTGTAAAGTTACCGTTTTGCCAGGAGAACCAGGTTTGCCATCTTCACCTGCTTTACCCTAAAATACAACAACATGAGCGATGCCACTGAGTAAACTGGGCGGAGATCTAATGAAACACAAATAATGGATGACTCTGATTAAGTGACCCATTAATACAAAATGTAAATGTTGCGTGCGTACTCACAGGTGTCCCTGCGGTGCCCAGAGGCCCAACAGGCCCCGGGGGGCCCTGGTCCCCTCTTAGTCCTGGTAAACCCTATTAATCAAACCAACATGCGTGGTTTAATCTCCCTTTTATTCAGATTAAATGCTAAACTAAGACTGATTTTGATTTTCTCACATGTTGCACCCTGTTGTGAGGATGCACGGGCAGAAGATAATATTAAAAGGTTTAACTTAACAGTTTAAACGTGCAGTAAATTACCAAAATAGCGAATGCAATTTGTTTTGGATGTACGGCAGCAGAACAGAAGCATTGTGTGTCGGCCCATTAAAAAAGGGTTTAGAGTTAAACTTCTCTTTTAGCAGTAATTTTTGTGTTCAATATTATATAATAGTCTCCTGTGAAACTGAACTGTCCCTGTGTGTTTCCCTGCATTGGGCTTATGCAACTGGTCACAGTAGTGAAGGCTGACACCTCCACAGTGCCCTCTGCAGCCCACACGCTAAAGGTGCACGTGTCATTGCAATTGAGGGGCAGATGTGCGCTGATTGAAAATCTGTTAAAATATCAGCATGTACTTCAATATAATTACTGAGAACTAATAGAAAATATGTGCAAATTGTATATTTCAAACCAGCAAACAGGAGGAATTGAACTCACGTCTCTTCCGGGATCCCCCTGTTTCCCGGGATCACCCTGTAACACAATGAAAAACCGACACAGTGCATCAGCGGCATGCAGCCATTCTCCGGTGAGGCCAAGAAATACGATGTGTTTAAAGTTTGGGTAAAAGGTAGCAGAAAGTACCCTCAGACCAGGTGGTCCAGCAGCACCTGGTTTACCATCCAGACCGGGACGTCCATCCAAGCCAGATATTCCCCTTTCTCCCTGATCACACAGATGTTAAGGATTAGATAAAAACGGTTCAGTAGGTGAGATCAGCCACTGATTTCAAACCTTTTCTCCAGGTGCTCCTCTGTCTCCTGCGTCGCCCTGTAAACATCAGAAGAGAAATACAGTGTGCGTGAATGGAAATGAGCAAATCATCCAGGTATTAATGGATATGATATCTAGTGATGAAAATTGAAGCAGAGAAGCAGCGACAGAAAGCAAACTCACTCTTGTGCCTGCAGGTCCCCGCTGTCCCTCGGGACCCTGTATAAGCAGCGAGGAAAGAACAAGAAGTCCCAAATGATCATCAGTCATGCATACCAAATAAACAGGGAAAGGGGCTGTGTGCATACTGATGCATGCGCTATACGGTGGCTTATCAGATGCTCACAGAGTATTCCCAAAATGCAAGAATGAGGCAAGCTCACCCGTAGGCCTGGGGCTCCAGGAATGCCGGCTTCACCTTTCTGACCTTTTCCGCCGTGCTCTCCTGGGTCCCCACTGTCCCCCTGAAAATAACAGTAATAAGAATTTAAACATTTGTGGCTGATTGTGGCCTTTTTAGGAGCTTTTTGTCACAATGCGTGTACAATAATTACAGTGGCTGGTACACACCTTCTCTCCTCTCTCTCCTCTCAACTGGCCCTTGATGTCGGCCTTTAGAAGAACAGAAATATAGTATATGTAGTATCAGGGTTGAATTGAGTTCAGCTACAGGACCTTCCCTCAATGGAAAGAAAATGCTGCAAAAACTCAAGTTTACTGGGATCAAAATGACACACTCACCACTATTCCTGGTGGTCCTGGAAGGCCTCGGGGTCCCTTTAAGAAGAGAGGAAAACATTTAAATCAATTTACAATAGATTACGATAGATAAAATGTTTTAAGCGGTTTGTGAAAAAAAAGCTGACAACAAACCAGTTCTCCTTTCTCTCCTCTTGGTCCTGCGGATCCAGGACTGCCCTACAAATGAAAAAATATCAATAAATATATGGAGCGGCTGACCTTCCTCACTATATCTCCTCTCGAGAGCCCATGGGAATGCACAAGTGCTTATTGATAGAGCTCTGTGTGTGATGATACATAAATGTGTGCCTCACATTTCGTCCGTGCTCTCCAGGATCTCCCATGTCTCCTTTTTCTCCTGGTCGACCCGGCTGACCAGCCAGTCCCTGAGCGCCGCCAATTAAAACCAATTAAAATCTGTTAACTGAACTTATGAAAACGTCATTCCAAAATGTGTCACTTGTCCTACCCTCAGTCCTCGTTCTCCTGGCTTCCCAGGAGGTCCAGACTCCCCCTGATGAAAAGCACGTTTAGAACTTCAATAAACATTTGGAGTAAAATGTACACATTATTTTTTATAAATAAACGAACACTCGTTATGAAGAGAGGACGTTGAAATGTATTATACTTACAGGTGTGCCTTCATCGCCCTTCTCTCCTCTTTCTCCCTTTAGGACATACATATTGATAGTAATGAATCCCTTTATTCAAGATCATTTGAACTAGGAGGACACTTCATTCCAACAACTGAGTAGATAATCAGAACATATAAAATGTCATGTCATACACAAAAAGTGTCCCTTTTACCTCTAAAGTGGCATCATTAGATAGAGATGCATGTTGGAAGGAACAGAAGAAAGAAAACAGCCAGTCTGATGTTTGATTTCAGCTCTGAGACCAACATGCAACAATAGCATTAACTGTTTTACTATTTTTTACAATACATAGAGCAATGTCCCCTCAAAGAAAGACAGGATGACACGATCAAATCTCTAGAGCTGCAACAATAATAACTCCTAATTAACCTGGTGATAAAACTTAATTTCTCAGGAGCTAAGTGGAGATATGTATTCCGCTGATATTCAGAGTACAGCTAAAAGCTCAAAAAGCTGTTGCATCGTGAACAATCAAAAAAGCCTATTTCTTCGCTGAGAATACCTCTTTCCCGGGGAGACCAGCCTTTCCTGGGATTCCTGGCCGCCCATTGTCCCCACGCTCTCCTGGATCACCTGAATCTCCCTGAGGATCAGTTTTAAGACCAGTTTGTGAATCAAAATGAACAGAAAGGCTAAAAACACGCAAAAAGGCAACATTGCAGGCTGGTCACCTTGGCGCCGGGTCTTCCGCCGATACCAGCAAGTCCCTGAGGGAAGAGCACATGTTTTATGTATTTTGGGGCACGACTTCCACCGACAGCTGGCACGAGGGAATATTTCATGAATAACTGGTTCACTTGTGAGGAATATATCATAGCAGCTGTAAACGGTAACATTGTGCCATTTGCTGTCAAAGCCACCGTGTTGATGTAGATAAAAAGGCGTGACAATGACTCCGACGTGAACTCACTCTCTCTCCCGGCTCTCCTTTAACTCCAACAGCTGACCCTCCTGATCCTGAGGACCCCTTGCAAAATGACAGGGACGACATTTTATTTGGACAAATGTCAGATGATAATTTTACTGCAGACACAGATTTCCATGAACATCATCATCCGCTGGTTTCTCACCTTCTCTCCTTTCTGTCCGCCGTCGCCCTTCACTCCCCTCGCCCCATCATTACCAGGCAGGCCTTGGTCCCCCTTTGGCAGATGTGCAAAGGAGAGGAAACAGGTCAGAGTGAAGGACCATTGAACTGGAAAAATGAAACGTCTTATGAGAACAGACTTTAAAAGCCTACCTGGTCCCCTTTCTTCCCGGGAATACCTGGACCCTGCATGATTTGAATAATACATTAAGGAATCGTCATCACAGACAGCTGACGTGGCTGACGTTCGTACCCGTATGCAGGACATAATGAAAGAGACATTTCGATCAGTTTGTGATCCAAATGATGCCCGTCAGGATTTTCTTTTCCTCATCTGATCACTCACACTTCTGCCAGGCTCCCCTCGTGCCCCCTCGGCTCCCTGGCAACAGATAAGTGCAAATGTCATTTCATCTTGGCAAAGAACATTCATTACATCCCATTACGAAATGTGTCACGTTCCCATTGACCTGCTGCTTTTCGTGCTTCATTTAATCAGCCTCACCTTTTCTCCTGCCGCTCCACTGGGTCCTGGTAAGCCCTGGTGACAAAAGGGAAAGACTTCATTCGCATCTCTCTCACTACCCATAAATAACAGCGCGACAATGCAGCGAGCATGAAAACGGACACTGATTTGATTCAACACGCCCGTCTGTCACTCACTCTTAAACCTGTTGCTCCTGCGAGGCCCGGCTTCCCCGAGTCACCCTGTGAAAAAAAATATTCAGATAACAGCACACGATCCCCCCCAAGAAAACAAAGGGATGTCAACAGATGAACTAATCTCAATAAAAAAAAACTGAAGCAACTCTGCTCTACTCACTCTCGCCCCAGTTTCACCAGCTGGTCCTCGCTCCCCCTGCAAACAAACGCATAGGTTCACTGAATTTTATAAGTCACATCGCCTGTTCTGGGAATCTTGTCTGATTATCTGACTCACTGTCAACAAATCCTGCATCTTGCAAAGACGGGTACAGTCTGTTACTTTCACAGTGGCAATACTGTTAATTTGTTTCCTGGGATGGTCAGTAGCTAATATAGCTTCTCAACTTCGTCTCGTCGAAAAATAAGCATATTTTAAAGGATTCATTTGAGGATTTCCTCTATTTACCAGATTACACAACATTTAAACTAATTGTGGACAACAATAAACACGATCCTTTACAGACAAACTAAGAACATTAGAACAGCAAGACAACAACAAAGCTGTCTCTCAGTTCTTTTTAGTTTATTGGACTGAAGAAAGGAGGCAGCCTGTTTCATCTCCACCTTTGTCCAACATTTATTAACTTGATTCTTCACGCCTGTGTGCGTTTGATGATAAATTGAATATGCTCTTCCCCATTGTAAAATATTGTGCTACTCCTGGTGCCTCATCGCTGTACTCACCCTGTCTCCCTGCAATCCAGCCTCACCTGGCTGTCCTCGGTCACCCTATTGGAATAGAGCGGGGGACTAAAGGTTATTCCTTTATTAGAAGCTTACAAGAGAAGCCATTTGTCTTACCTCCACCTTACCTTAGTACCAATTTCACCTGGAGGCCCACGAGGACCCTGCAATACATGAGCAAAATGCTTAATGGCAGATACATTAATTCCACTAAGGAGGTCGAGTTGTTTTATTACTTCTAAAGTAATAATCTAAAGAATTGTTTTAACTGTGACGGCTCCATCCTGTGGACATTAATAGCCTCTTATGTGTTTGCTAAGCTCTAAATTGTGAAACAACAACACCTCAAACGATTGAAAATTGTGATGGGATTGTGCAGGTGGAACAGATGTGTTGCTTTCTACTGTTTTAATATCATCAGCAAAACGGATACCTCATCTTGACGTCAACCATCTAAAGACTGTAAGCTCAACCTACTCTGTCCCCAGGATCTCCTTGTCTGCCAGGAAGTCCAGGAACCCCTTCGCCGTTATCGCCCTGAAAAAAAAACACAAGCCATCACTGTGGGATAAACATCTACCATGCTCAAACATTCATACACAGGATCAATCCTCATCTACCTTGTCTCCTTTGCTGCCTTGAGGTCCTGATGGCCCTCGAGGACTCTGAGCCCCTGGAGGTCCTGGGACACCCTGATAATAAAAATGCAATTAGTAAATGCAAAATGCAGCGCCACCTGCACACGGACTTCATCTGCAGACTAAACATGTCAGCACATTGACAGTGATTGACAGCGCTTACTGGGGAGCCTTTCTCGCCCTTCACGGCCACCCCACTTCCGACCCCTGGAGGTCCCTGTCAGCCGAGGGAGATAAGAGCTGAAAATCATTATGCTTACGCTCTACTCAGAATATGTCTGCAGTGAGAGGACATGCTGGTGTGACTCACCCGATCTCCTGTGCTGCCCTTGTCTCCCTGCAGAATGAGAATGAGAGAGACACTGAGTAGGAGAACATTTCTCTATGATAGCCACATACATTGATGCGTATTCCCACTCAATCAGAGGTGGAAACGCACTTCTCTTCCATTACACATGGTATCTCCACATCAAGAGAGAAAACCGATAACAACATGGAACCAGGATGTAAAATACATTTGCTAAAAACTGGTATAATGGTAGTTTTAAAAAACGTTTTTTTCTCTTTTAATCTAAAGACATGAGATGTGGCAAGAACCAGTTTCTGCCTTCCCTCATTCAATTGTATTACCTTTTTAATTATTATCAATCGGTAGTAGTAGTAGTTTGCTCAAGATAATTTCTATTTTCTATTAAAGTTGATTCATAGGAGTATCAGAGAAATTCTGTCTTTCAAAAGTTTCAAAACAATTATAATAAATTCTGTGTAAAGTATAATAAATATCCAAAACATTTTGAAAAGCGATAGAAACTATGAAAAAAGTCAAGTATGATACAGACCTATTACTAAAATTTGGGAGAATAAAACATCTTTAAGACCACTATAAAAATCCTGACTATTGTAACAAAAACCTAAAAATCTAAAAATGTCATCTTTCCTGGCACACCGAGTAAACGCTGCAGCCACCACTGGAGACACATGTGAGTGGCTCAATGCTGCCACCATGTGCATGAGACTGACAACAACAGTTTTATCTTGGACAAGTGGTTGGCTCCAATACACTCACACACATGCACGTTCATGCTGTCTTGTTATTTGAATATTGTTTCAACATAAATTCCTTAAAATCATTCTATAGTACAGTTAACACAGCATACTCGTGTTTACCAACACAGCCATGTCCCTCCAAAAAAAGGTTGGTTAATCCAGCTTTACCAGGACGCAGCAGTGCCAAAGCAGTGTCAAAGGCAGCTTGTGCTTTCAACTGCAAGCTTGAAATAAAGTCTATACAATAAATCACTTCTGTGGGACAGAATGCTAAAATGCTAAGAGCTGACAGCATACAAAAGTGCCTTTTAACTTGAGGGTGACGGAGCGAGGAAGGGCGGGTCGCTCACCTTGATGGAGAGTCCTGGCGTTCCTGATAAACCCGGGCGACCATCCTGACCAGGTGTCCCCGGAGCTCCAAAGGCGCCTTTGGTCCCATCGCTGCCAGGCCGACCAGGAGTACCCTTTGTGCATCCACAAACACTGGTCAGTGCACATAAATCACACGGAGATCTATACAGCTACACCAGACTTCTTTATGGCAGCTGGACATCCCCTCACAGGTAAGAGTGTTGGAGGGTTTGTGAGTGTGGCCCACCGTGAGGATACATGTGGCCATACAGAGATAATTCAGTACTGTAGTCACTTACTGGTATTCCGGGAATGCCTGGCTCTCCTTTCCTCCCAGGAAGACCCCCTCCTGATATAACGGAGCCTGGTTCACCCTGAAGCATCAGCACAGCCCCGTAAACACACACACACATTCTCGTTGTTCTCCCTCCTTTCAAACGGACACAAAGGAACTACAAACACTGGAAACACAGTAAAAATAAATGATAATTTAGCTTACCCTTTCACCTTTAGTCCCCTTTGGCCCCAGTGGCCCTGTCCCACCTGGTTGACCCTAGAACAACAGAAAACACTCAAGAAGCTCCGAACTTACGCAAATCTCCACTTCACTACTCTGCATGTTAAGAGTTACTCACTGGATCTCCTCTGACTCCGGACAGGCCCTGTGAACCCTGACACAAGCACAACATTGTTTTGTTACTTATGTGCCTATACGACAACATCAACACATCCATTGGTCGCGTGGGTTTTGCTCCCTCAAACTCACCGGGACCCCTGCGGATCCAGGTGAGCCTGGTCGTCCTGGCAAACCTGCACTTCCGTCGATGCCAGGAAAACCCTAAAAAGAAGAGAGATTGCTTGTGACTTCAGTCCTCATTTGGTGAATGCGGATGTTTTATCGGTATGGCCTTAGCTGTACTCACTCTTTCCCCCTTTTCTCCTTTCACCCCCAGTGAGGGTTCAACGGGGATAGTTTGGCCCGGTGTACCCGGGCGTCCTTCAGGTCCTCTGGGGCCTTCTCTCCCAGGCAGACCATCACGGCCCTACCCCACATTAGTGCATATAATCAATAGGATTTCTAAATAACAATATATTGCGGTTAAGAGTTCAGTGTAATGAATGACTTACAGGATCTCCCTTGCGCCCATCTGAACCGTCTCTGCCTCTCTCACCCTGCAGAGTAAAACAAAACAGCGCCTTAAAAGCTGAAAACACACAACGAGAGTGGTCAAATATTTCGGCCTGTCTGCACTATACCTTTTCTCCACGATATCCCCTTTCACCCTAAAATAAATAGGAAAGGTTCAACTTAGAACTTGAAGGATGTTTGTGGCTGATTGAAATCTATAATAACTTATATATTATATTATCACAAGTTATGTACTGAAAGTACTGTACTATGAAAGTACAGCTGGAGAACTCACCTGAGGACACTGAACGGTGCACTGCTCTGGACCTGGATCTACCTAAACAAGGACAGAAACATTATGCAGAGATTAAAGAGTTTTTTTGGACTATAATTACATAATATTTCCATTAAAAAAGCTAAAAAGTACCATGGAAACTATTACAGTATAGTATACTATAACAAAAACGTGATTTTTCTTACGTCTGGTATTCTGGCGATACCACAGAGCAAGTCTGCGAGATCTGAATGTACGGTGTCCAACTGTGATGCATCACGAGCATACAGGACGTTCTGGGGGCTGCCGTCCGTCACTGCCCGACGCAGCTCCTCGGTATTCGCCTGGTCCACACCCACTGCCAACACGGTCACACCTGGCAGACACACACGCGCGCATACACAAGACATGTCTCTCACAGAATGCACACATTGTTGAAGTTCTTGAGAATTGGGAAGAAAACCAAAGTAGTTTTTTGACTTTTTTAAATTCCACATAGGGGCAATTTAAAGGAATACTTAACATGCAGAATGATCATTTGTAGAACACTTTAGATTTAGATTTTGGCCCGAGAAGAAGGATATTTTGTTAACGTTTTGCTGTACCTGGCATTCATTTACTTTCATCAAACTGTTTTCAGTTATTTTATTCTTCTTTCACCATTTAAGCGTGTGAGAAAAAGATATTTGTCTTGAAGGGTCGAAGGGAAACAAAGGTAACTTACAAGAAATAGTTAATTTTAAGAGCGAATATTAAACTGAACTATTATTATCATTTTCTTAAATCAATGTACAATGTAGTTACATCCAACCAGGCTGAAGCAAGGCATATAAGTTCACGGGTGAGACAGTGTGACAGCTGGTTGGTCTGTTTCAGCCCACCTGCAGCCCTGAGACTGCTGGCTGCGAGAGTCAGGTTGTCCGCTGATGTTTTGTCAGCAATGATGACGACAGCACCGGGGACCCTCGGCCTCCGTCCAGCTGAGGGGGTCAGAAGGTACTGCCTGGTGTATGTCACCGCCTCACCTGCAGAGGGAGACAGACCATATCGTAACTCATAACACACATGTAGTATTAAGTGCAGAGAAGGCGAGGAAAAAAAAACTACCAATGTTGTTCCCGGGACTTTCGTCAAATGGCGTGGACTGGATCTCTTGGAGAAGAGTGTCAGACCGGCCGTGGCGATTAAGCAGGAACCATAATTTGGGCCTGTAACCATAGACTACAATTCCCAACTGAAACAGGCAGAAAAGGTGTCAAAATGTTAAGTCAGCTACAAGTGAGCGCGCCATCAGATCCAAACAGCCGTTCCGTTCACTGTGGAGAGACACATTCTCCCAGAGCAGTACCTGAGAGTCGCCGGATCCAATAGTTTCCAGCGAGCCTGCTGCACTCGTTAGCAGTTGGCGCAGAGCGCTTGCAAGACTAATCCGATCAGTGGATGCCGGAACCAGAAACACCACATCCAGACGCCCGCCCACACAAACTGCTGACAGAGGTGTTTGGATGGGTGAAGCACGGTATCAAAAAGGGTGTTTTTCGGTACGGCAAGTACATGAAAGAGGACGTGTTGGTGTGTTACCAGTGCGTTCAACAACAGAGCTCTCAGTTCCAAATCCATTTGGAAAGGTGGCTTGCACCGCAAAGCGATAACGACGGCCCAAACGCAGCCCGGTCACCTGGTAAGAGCTGGACGCTGCAGGGAGCGTAACGGACGAGCCCCCGCCAACCGCTGAGAGATGCAAACAGTTAATATGATGCAGGACTCTTTAACAGGTAAACTTTAACACGTGCAAAAGCACGTTTCACCTGTCTCCTCTCTCCAGCGTAGAATGTATCCCGTGGCACCAACGAGTGGATTCCAGCCAATCCGCATAGAATTCCGAGTAACCTCTGCCACTCGTACAGTTATGGTGGCCACTGGGGGGGAGGGGTTCCCAGCTGTAAACACGGGTGCAAAGAAGAAGCACTGGTATTTCATTTCACTTCACTTATTCAATATAATTCTTGAAATATAACATTTTGTGTGCCGTGCACCCAAGACAGACAGTATTCTCATTCTTATCTACACAAAGGTCAAAGGCCTCAGCGACTTACGAGGTTTTACTTAGTGACTGCATGCTGTATTATTTTAGGATAATGCTAGATGTCTAATAATATATTACTGAGGCCTAAAGTGAAATTTGTACTTATATGTATTTTTGACCATATGCATCATTTGTGAACTACTTTTATCTAAAAAGGTGAAGTTTATTGTTTAATATATTCATTTGACATTGCATGGACTCGTATGCTAATATTAGAAGACAGGACTCACGTGTGGTGATTCTGACAGACACGGGGGATCCCTCTCTGTTTTGAACCAAAGCCATGACCTGCACCACATATTGTGCTCCAGGGTCCAATCGGTCCAAATCCACTGCTGTCACATCTCCCCCCACCAGCTGACTCCTCTCTTCACCACCTGCAGCAGCACGCAGTGGAAACGGGGAGTGGCTTGACACGGTTCTTGTGAAACATGTTAAAGAGGATAGTGGTGATGTTTTGAAGTGGGGTCATGTGAGGTTCTTATCCATTGTAAGGGTCTTACCTTATAGTGGATGGTGGCATGCCACCAGTTTGGAAAAAACAGATGGTCGTACCAAGGCAAGAAGAGCAAGTTAAGTAACCGATCAGCGGTAAACCAGAAACCTTTGTGTTTAGCAGAGGGCCAATTACTGTTGGCATTGGCTACTTGTGGCCTCGCAGAGACATAGATGGATATGTTGGCTTCAGTTCCCTGTCAAAATCCATGCGCTTTGGATAAGTACTTCATAGAAACCCACATCAAACATGCAAACCACATCCTGTAGGGCAAATGAATGCCTTCGAGATGTTAAGATTTATATTTATGACTTTATAACAAAAGCGAAATGGCCAATCAATATATCCACCATCCGTTCTCTTCCAAGTCACTCGATAAGCCGTCGCTCCCTGCACACCGACCCAAGTGACCCGGACAACCTCTCCGCGGGCCTCCTGGATTTTCAGTGACGTCACACTCCCGACCACAGACGGATCCGACTCTGAAGGTGAGGACGGAAACTAATGAGTCACATGTTCTATTTAGTATTATCCTTACCCCCGTAGCCGTGCTCCTCCCAAAAGACACTCTGGGCAACAGCAGTAATGTGTATTAGGCACTCAGCGGAGGTACCTGTTCTGACACTCAGGGTGGAAGGACTTCCCTCTCGATTGCCAGTCAGTGAAGAAACTAATATGCTGTAGGCGGAATCTGACTGCAGCCCATCAATGGTGAAGGAAGAGACGTCGGCGTCCACGTTATTAGTTGATTGGACGCCTGCACCAGCCAAACATAGTAGGTAAATGGAAATGGTAGAATTGTGTCTTTAGGCCTGCTAATTTAAATATATGAGGATGGAAGAAGCTGACATTCAGCTGATGTCATTATGTGTGTTGGATTCATCTCGTACCATCAGCGCGGCGCCATGTGACCCTATACCCGGTCGCCCTAGTGGAACGGGACCATGCAATGCGTATCCTCTGAGATGTAACGTCAACGATGCGAAGGCCAGACACCGATCCACCGTTCGGATTGGTCCGACTAGAGAGCGTGACCACCTCTCCAACCCGTTGATCGACCATTGATGCAACACCAATCACCAGCGCCTCGTCTGGCTGCAGGCCGTCGATAGTGAAGGCCGTGACATCCGCTCCGAGTACACGGGACTGCTCTGCATCTACGAGGCCAAAAACAGACTATTCAGGAAAGATGTTAAACTAATTTAGCTTCAAAGTCTGCTGTTCTTGTTATCTTAAAGTATGATGAAATAAGATCCCAAAACAACTTTTTATTCATTCTTCAATTAGATGTAAGGAATGATATAATAATACATGACGCAAAAGGGCATTGTGATTTAAAACACTTACTGTTGCCTTGTCTCCAAGTAACCCTGTAACCTGTTGCCCCTGTAGCACCTCCCCAGGCAATTCGAATCCTCCGACTGTTTGCGTTCGTCACTCTAAGGTTAGTCACTCTGCCAACATCTCGCTCTGAAATAGAAATCGAGGCCCTCATGTGACAAAATGTACCCAATTTTAAGAAAGATGCATTTCAATTCAATAGTAACAGGTAGAAAGAGGAAAGGTGGTACACTAAAAAACACGGCTGTCCACTTTAAAGGACATTACACAATTGTGTGAATAATATATGAATAATTAATAAATAAAAAAATGTTCACAGTTATATATTGTATACTAATGTATAGTATACAGTATGTAAACAATATGTTTGATTGAAAAATATCAAGTAGTGTCGATTCTGCTAAATTAATGAGAGGCTTTAATCACAACAGCTGTTACGTTTTCACCTCAAATTTACAGTGAAATGTATGAAGAAATAATGCATCTTGACAGGATACATTTTTCAAAAGATTAGACATCCATTTTAGTTATCTGTTATTCATAACAGCAATACAACGGGATGAATCACACAGCAGCACAGTGACGCCGCTCAACCCACCTGGTGTGATGTAAACAGTAACTGGGTCTCCTTCATTTTCTCCAACTAGCGCTACGACGATGACACCATAAGGCACGCCCACTATCAGGTCTCTGAGGTCAAGGGTCGTCTGGTTACCAGGAATACGCCGTGTTTCCTCTGATCCCGCTAAAATGTCATGAAACACACAGAGCCGTTGTTTGCACAAGCATACTTTCATTCATAATTGAGCACTCAGTCATCAAAATGAAAAAGAAAGCAATGACTAAAATGCGTCACCTTCTGTGTTCAGGATGCTGATGCGGTACTGTGTCGCCCCGGCTACGCCTGTCCAGCCGAGTCTCACCGTGCTGCCCAGGGTCTCCACGACTCTCAGGTTGGACACCCTCCCCACTGGCTGTTCCTCTGCAACACCACAGAATAGGGACACTCGTATCCCCTTGGAATTCAACCCGGAACATCTGTGACCCATAAATCCGCCCCAAATGAACTGGTGAAGCGTCCCGGCTGAGGTACTGACCTTTGGATATGAAGGTGACAGGCGTGTTCTCTTCCCGGCCTTCGAACAGCGTGTACAGCGTGATGATGTATTCTGTGTTGGGCTGGAGGCCTGTCAGCTCATGGCTGGAAGTCGTTCTAGAAAAAGGCAGGCTCTGGATACGGCCTCCTGAAAACAGGGCAATGATCCGAGATCAGTGCATTTAGGTTCAATACACCTGCAGTTCCTTTCATATGCAACTTATAACGGGAGCATTTACTCGACGGCTATAATTGGCTATATTTCAGTCAAATAATATATTAAAAAACTGATTCTGTACACATATCGTTACTGTTAAGTAACTGTAAGTAGACATCAAAATGATTTCTTGTGATGAATATAATAACTTATAATAACTTGCACAGTCATTTTAAAATCAACAGGTAATGTATGAAAAGAGCACAAAAGGATCACGTGAGTGTGTATGACGTGCACGTCTGACCTTCCCCAGCTCTCCATTCCAGGCGGTACCCTTGAGATGACTCAATGATCCTCCACGTGAGGCGAATAGAGGAGGGTCCGATGGTGGCTGCTCTGAGAAGCTGCTGCTCCTGACGCTCTAAGGTGAAGACATGATTTACACCATGAATGGAATTATGTGAAAGATCCAAAGTAAATCTCACCCCCCACCATCAAACAATCAATAAGAAATGTTAGAAGCTGGTCAGATTGTTGAGAACAATACTCCCAATACTGGCTATTATTGCTTTGCTGTAATTATGCCTTTACTGGACAAAAGGAGATGCCTTTCCACAGTAATTTCAAGGTGATTGGGTAAAAAAATTGGCTGCTTATTCTCTGTAAAAATGCAGTTTAAGTTTAGTTGACGTGAATGCAAGGCTTCAGCTAGCCTAACTGCCAGGATTTGCTTAGTTCACATAGCACCAACCAGCAGGATGGTTTTGGTGAGGTTTTACTAAAGCGCACTGCACTGAACTATATAACGAATGTTTCTAAATGTCACAAGGAATCCATAAGTCAACTAAGGTAAACCAACAATAAACTCTCCCTGAGGAACGTCTTTTCCTTACTTTTAGGATGTTACCCTTACAGAGAAACATAACTTAATTCATAATGTATTGAGCCACCAAATTATAATTCTTAAAACAAGAAAGTATATTTGCAATGTATTGTTTAAATTGTCCTAACCTAAAAATGAACATATCATTTAGGATACTTAAAAATGAGGCTGATCTCGTGTTTTGAGATAAGAGGGACCGAATGTTGGGGTTCAGGAATCTGTTCTAAATTGATACAAAAATTTGTTTAGAGGAGGTGAGAAAACATACAGCCTTCACTTTTTTACCGAGGAGCACGATTGGTGCAAAAATAATGTCAACAAAACCAATGAGCAATGAATGAATAAAATAAAGTAGTGGGATACCAGAGGAACCGTAATAATCTGTCCTTTAATTCATTTGACTTGACTGCTCAGCTTTGTTCTTCTGATGTGTGTCTTTTAGCGTGCGTATTTAAAAACAAAAAAAAACATCACATTCCTTGTTCCAATAAATCTGGTTCTAAGGGAACACATAATTGCAGCCAGTGGACAAAGCTTCAAATGTCAATGTTGCTGCAAAGACGTAACAAATTATGAAACATGTCTGCCTCAAACACATCTTCACCCTGCCTCCCATTTGACATTTTGGTGTCGTTTAGGTGTCAATGACCTTTGACTATGACTGTAAGACAGAAAGCCTTTTTTAGCCGCTACAGAGGCTCATACCAGCAAACTCGTTCTCTGATTCTGTATGTGCCGTGTTTTCTTCTTCATGAGAGAAACATTTAAAGAAATCCACAAGAAAGGGCATAAAAAGGTCTACAGACCCGCGGCTATGCAGCAGTAACCCACTGATGTGTCTTTTAGGCCTGAGATTCAGACTATACACTAACAACCAACATTTTACTTTATGACAGATTTGTTTGATTGAATGCCACACAAAGACGTTGTAGTGGTTGGGACATTTGGAGACGATGTCAATGTGTTATTCACTAAATAAGAAAAAAGTCAACATTTTTTCCTAATAAGAAGGGACAGACTACTCTCCCACCATAAATGTTTCACAAGTTTAAACAGGAACAGAAAAGAGCAAAAACAAGCTCCGCTGTGCAGTTCAAGTTATGTAGAGCCTTGTATATTTCTCACCTCTGTGATAGCACAACACAGAGGAGCACAGAAGAGCACAGAGGAACACAGAGGAACACAGAAGAACACAGAGGGTTTTAGTTCTCCATTTCTGCGTGCCTGCTCCATAAAGTGGCCAAGCAGTGACTCAGCCTTCATTCAAAGAACACCAGCCCCACCGAAGTGACACCATATGGCCCTTACTCACGATAGAGACAGATGCTGGGTAATGAGTGCGTAGGTGTGCTTAAAATGTTCCTTAAACAAAGATAAACAGTAACATGTGAAGGTTTTCAGAAGACAGACAAACAGCGGAGCAGACTGCCATCTTGTCCGTCTCATCTTCCTGTCCCCGTCCACTTAGCAGGACACAACAGAAAGCAAGCCCCCATTAAACAAGACTCATCTCACAGCAATTACTGATTTAAAAAGCCCCAACGGATGTCATGTGGCAGTTTGCAGCTTTGGTGTGTGTGTGTGTATGTGAGTAAGCGAGTGCGTGGTTTGAGAGAGCAGAGGCAGATGTTTGATGTTGAACTACTGGAACCACACCTACCTATCTTGAAGCTGGCGGTGGCTACCGGGCCCTCAGTGTTGCCCTCATACAGCGGGATGATGGTGACGATGTACTCGGTGTCAGACTGCAGTCTGGACAGAGTATGAAACTCATCAGCAACCTCCACTGTCTCGACATCTCGACCTTTGTCAAAGGAAAAAAACAGAGTGTAGGCATGTTTTAAAAACAACATATATACATGTAGACAGAAATACAATAGGTTGTCTCATATCAGGAATCAGGAATCAGGAAACATTTATTGCCAAAATATGTCAGACATACAAGGAATTTGTCTTGGCGGTTGGTGCGTGACAGTACACAGTGTGACAATAGAGAACAAGACAGCAGTGCACAAGTAATTAAATAAAGTTAGTAGAATAAGGCTATGGGTTAGTATAAAACAAGAGAATAAAGTTAGAGTTACACATTTAAAATATTAAAAAATATTAAGCATAAAGTGCTCTAGCGAACAAGTAACAAAGTGACGAGTGACGACAAAGTGAAAAATTACAGGTAAATTGACATGTGCAGTGTGAAGGGGAGTGACCGGTGGAGTGTTATAGTCAGTCAGTGGGGGACCGGGCTCTGTTGACGAGCCCGACTGCCGACGGGAAGAAACTGTTCGTGTGGCAGGAGGTCTTAGTCCTGATGGACCTCAGCCTCCTGCCAGATGGAAGGGGCACAAACAGGTTTTGTCCGGGGTGAGAGGGGTCGGCCGCGATTTTTTAGCTCGCTTTTTTTCCAGTTAGGTCAAACTGGAAGCGAACAAGTCCTGCAGGGACGGCAGATTGCAGCCGATCACCCTCTCTGCAGAGCGGATGACACGCTGCAGCGTGTCCTTACCTGTAATTGGTCCCCAGACCAGTCGGTAGGCCCGCGCACCATTGACACCTCTCCACCGCACCCGCACGCTGCCCTCCGACTCCGTCTCCACTGACAGCTGCTGCACGACCTCGAGGCGCACTGACCCATGCAACAACATGAACACAGGACCTCTGAATGCTATTTGCATGTAAACATAGTTTAGATTTGGACTGTAGTCTTTACAAACTTTTCATTTGTCAAGTATCTAATCTCCCACCAGACTATACAAAAAGGGTTTAACTATGTGGTTATTTCACGTAGACTACTGAATAACTACAAAACATGCCGTATCATAATATGAAATTACCTGTGTTTTGATAAAAGATTCGTGACATATCTCCAAGCCTCACAGAGCTGCACTCGGCACTTGTTTTAAAATTGCTTTATCCAAAAATCCACCACTGCATTACACTGTATCGATGGTGATAGTGATTCTAATGGATTAAAAGCACTTACGTCATCATATAACAGCACCGACGGGAGGACTCACGTGTGCGGGCGTTGAGGATGGACGGGGATGCAGAGTTTCGAGGGAACAGCGGATAGAGGCTGACCACGTACTCCGTGTCGGGCTGAAGCGACTCCAGGGTGATGGATGTGGAGTCTGCCGACAGAGACTGCTCCAACAACTGAGACGCTGGCTGACCTGCTCCTCCAAACACACAGTCGACAGGGCAAGTAGGCATGGCAGGCAGGCAGCAGATACATACGGGCACGGATGAGCAGTCATAATGATAGAGTGTGGCATGTCATGACACAAATTAGCTGACAACAAGCTGGAAGAAATATAAGAAGTGTCTTCACTTCACTGACTTTGCCTGATTCAACGCGGCGAGTGCATGCAATGTATTCGCGTGGGCGCCTGTCAGCATCTGTCTTGTTTGTTTAAATCACCAGGGCGAGTAACAGGTAGAAACATTGCCCCCTCTCATTGAAGGATGCACCCTGGCCTCAATTAAATACTCTCACATATGCGACCAACCTAACTAGTCTGAGGAGGATCTCCATGTGAGACTGGCACTCCTGCCACATGTTCAGAGACAGAAACTGTTTATGTCAGCCCTCAGGGGCCATTTCTCCCTCCTGAATCACTGCAAAAGCGCCCAGACATCTTGAAATGTTATAATCTATGCCACACCCTGTTTCCAGAAATGTGAGAAATAAATTACGGACGCACCGTTGCATAAGTGACTGTTTTCAAGTTTTTTAATTTCAAGACGTGTGATGATAAAATTAGATGTAATATTTTAGTAATGATTGGGTGATAAAATTCCCAACTGACAGCCCGCGCCCGGGGGGACGTAAAGGGAAGCTTGTGCCCTCAGCCTTGACTCCTGTACATTCTCGACATGTTTTCAACTTGACACCAAAGGATAACTGTTATTCAGGCTTGTAGCTTCTTTCCTCCCCTCATTTTTACAGTTATTACTCACTCTGCGAGTATTAGCATTTTGACAAGACAATTCTGCCACGACAAAAGGAGATGTTGCTAATGAACTGTAGGTGTTACTCAAACCCAACTGCGTGAGTCAGATGAGCTGCAGACAGAGAGAGAAAGGCAGTTAGACAGGTATGCGTGTGCCTGACCTCGTGGTCCGTAGGTGAGCCTGTAGCCCTGCACAGGAGACGAAGGCTGATCCCAGACCACAGAAAGGGAGAAGAAGCCTGCCTGGACCAGGCGCAGGCTGGTGACCGCTGGCAAAGACCCTGCAGGAGGATTTTTAAAAACACACACAAACCAGTTGTAACAATTCCCAATAGATGGGTGCTGTCGTGTGTTTTGGCAAGTTTCCCTGGTGATATTTCGTCCTTCACTTTTTACTCACTGGTTTGTTGCTTGCCAGAAACAGACTCCCCAACACTGTTGGGGTACTGAGCAATGACAGTCACCAGGTAGTCGGTTCCAGACCTCAGCTCTTGTGCGGTAAAGGTCCTCTGACTGGCAGAGACAGTTTCCTGCAGAGACGCCAGGTTTGTTTTTACAAGCAGTCAATCCCAACACACATTTGTGCAAAGCAAATGACTGAAATATGTAGGTAAGCTCTGACATTATTCTATCTACACCATGTTTGCCAGAAAAAGGGAATTTCACGCATTGGTCTGCCATGTTTGTATCTCTTCGGCATCTGCACAAACATTGGACGTGTTTACACTCAGCCTGAAGGCATCTCCATGAGTTGCCAAGAGTAGTCATCCAACACCTGGGCTTACCTGACGCAGCTCTGCTGTGATAGGTTGACCCAGACCAGAGAGTGGCACATACTGGACCAAGTAGCCAGTCAATGGCCCCCGTGCCGCACCCCAGCGGAACCGCAGAGTATCAGACGTTTGGCCGGTGAACTGTATGTTGGACGGACCAGAAAAGGCCTCTGAAGGCAGGGAAGAGGGTGCAAGCCGGATGAGACGAATCAAATTAAAAATGTCAGCAAGAATAAGGCGATATACACTTTTGGTGGTGTGTATTTTAGTATACCGATGTTATTTTTCAAGGTAATCCACATACCATCGCTAGCATAGACCCCTCCGGCTTTGGAACAGACCTTAGGGCTCACAAGGGGAAGAAGTGTGTTCAGCAGTTTGAAGTCCCCGACAAAGGAGGTGAAATCACCGCTGGGCTGAGAGGCGATCTGAGCCAATTCCTTCCTGTCCGCGCTCTTTATACCTAATAAACCATAGAAAATTGTTACGTTTAAAAAATAACCACGATGGCTCAGAAGCAAGCAAAAAGAAAAACACTACTTTGATTAAAAGAGGACAGGCGGCCTTTCAAGCAACCTACCAACTGCAAATACATGGACTCCTTGACTGCGCAGCTTCTGTGCTGGCTCTTCCACACTGTCTTGTGACTTTCCGTCTGTTATGAGGATAGTGATCTGAAAGTTAAAGAGGACCCACGGGGAGAATTAGGGACGCAAGAGGTGCCAAGTTCGATATGCCATTTTAGAATTATGCTGCCCCTCCGACCTTTGGTACATCCCGACTGGTCGTAGGATTGAAGAAGTTATCAGCGACAAACTTGAGACCAGCACCAGTCCGTGTGTTCCCGCCCTTATAGTTCAGACTCTCTACAGCGTTGACCAGCTCGGTGCCAACCAGGTAGGTGCTAAATGTAAATTCAACCCTGGAGGGAGAGAAATTCACATTACATACATATTTCCCCCCTCTGCAGTAATTGCATGCAGGGGAAAGTAATGAGGTGAATTGTAATCCTTAGTAGTTGATAGTCACCTTGAGGTGTCGCTGTACTGTATGACCCCAAACCGTATCCCTGACTCGCTGACAGAGCTGACGAACGGCTTGACGACCCCAGCCATGAAGCGTTTCACCTGCAGGAAGTTAGCTCGGCCAATGCTGGAAGACCCGTCAACCAGGAAAACAATATCTGCTGCTTGCACATTATTACACCTGCCTGCAAATACAATGCAATAGAGACCCCATGTGAGCACAAACACACGTGTGACTTAGAACACTTTGAGGAGGAGAATTAGAGTTTACCCTGAGCTTCAATCCTTTTCATGGAGGACAGCAGGGCAGTCACAGTGAAAATCCAGCTCCACATCTTCACAACCTTGGTACACAAAGAGTAAATAAAAATGTTATTATGACTCACTACATGACCGATGACTCACTGAAATCCCTCAGATACTTACTCTTCGTGTCCATTTCATTGCCAGTTTCTGCTATTCATCTAATTATCTCCTTCTTTTCAGCTGCAGCCCATTAGTCACACCTTCCTCGGCATATGTTCAGCACTGTTATTTGTTAGATTATATCTGTTCCTTAAAGCAATTGTTCCTGCCCACGCCTGCTCTAAACCACCTATAGCCTCTGCCCGCCTCGTCTCTTCTTCTATAAACGTCGGTCTGATAAAGAGTAGAGTCTTATTATACCACACAAGCTTCACAAGTCCGTTTAAGGTCCAATTTCCAATTTGCCCGACACAGCGTCAGTGAGTGTTGGCATGGTAGTGTACTTTCATGTAGTCCGGCTCTCTGCACCATACTTCAGTGCGATTGCTGACGTCCTCAACAACCAACATCCTGAAATCAACAACCAGGGAAAGCTAAACAACCAGAGATAAAGACTCTGCTGACCCATCTGTGTTATAGATAATAATAATATATACTTGTATATGGTGGCTTTTTGGGGGTTTACATCACTCTACTCCTGAATTGAAATAATTTTCCATTATTTAAACATGAGTTGTTTATATAAAATCCAGTTCAGTTTTAAAAAAACATATATTATTTGATTAAACTTGTTTTCAGTTGTTGACTCCAAAGATATGTTTATTCAACTTTGATGTGAAGAAATTAAATTCATGTGACTAAACTTGCACTCGGTGTCAAACACCAACTGATGACAAACCTTCCAAAGCTGTTGATGAGTATAATTCACACAAGGGTGCGTATTATCAATAGGTCTACATTTTACAAAGGACACATGGTACATGCATAAACATGTGCAGAGAGAAACAGACCAATTAGACAGTGCTGCCTCACATCTTCTCTCTCTGTGTGTTTCCTTTCCATTTCATCTCATCAGAGCAGATGAGTTAAATTCCTTTGAGCATATTGGCCTCTTTTTGTCCATTTGACTTTCCCCAGCATGACCGATTGCACCCTCAAACTTTACTACTGTATGTCTGGAATGCAGATGTAAGAACCTCATGAGCACGATGTACCATTTCAAAAAAATGTTTTTTTTCATCTTCTCTGACTTTCTAAATTTGGATTTTCACCTCTGCCATGATCAGGGATCTCGACCTACGCAAACCACCACCTCCTTTCTTGACAACCTCTATTCATGTCGTCCTTTTTACAGAGGTGATGCACCACACGGCGGCTACCGCAAAGCGCTGACAGATGTTGAGCCACAAACAAAATGTCTGGTCTACTCTGTAGAGGTACATCCACCGCATAGGAATGCGAGGAGCATCAACATCGTCTGGAGTAGTTGTGTCGCTTTGACCGTCAGTGTTTCCAGCGTGACAACCAGCCCACATGAAAGAAAGCCGCCGCCGACATATGCTGACAGAAAACTACAATGAATGCCTCTCACTTTGTTGTAGTTCTATGTGACTACTATTAACTATTCTGGAGATTAGAACAGGTTTTACCAGTAGTTTCACATACATGTATTAGCTTTCTTGTTAAGAGTTTGTTAAAAATACTTCCTTAGCGGTTGGGTAAAGAGAAGGCTACATCAAACTAGCTGTTAGCATACTGGAGGCAGCTACAGTATATGAGTTGTTTATCACTATAAAAGCTAAAGAAAAAAACAACGTTGTGTTTTTAATCCGGTTTAGCAATAGTTTGGCACGTGACCCCTTGAGAATAAGAGACCAGACTCCATTGGCCATTCAGACGTTACCTGAAGCCAAAAGGTCGAACGTAGCTGCTCCCTCTGACATGCAGAGCACACAAATAAGCAGTACACATTTAACCATGTGCCCTTTGAAAGATTAAAATTATTTTTTCTGAGACACCTGCAGCTAAAAAAATCAAATGTTGTGCAATAAGCTCAAGGTCGGCCTGATTCCAAACATTGTTTATTACAGGTTCAGTTACGTTGTCACGGTGTGGTTTCACTTCCTGTTGTATTTTGTAGTTTTCTGCCACTCGTGTCCCCGGGTAACTTCACTTCCTGCCTTGTCTCGTCATCCCCTGTGTTCCTCTAATAGTTTCCACCTGTGTCCAATCACCTGCACCTCCCTTGTGTATTTAAGCAGTGTGTCTCCTGTGTCACTTGTCGCGTCATTGTCTTTCGTCTTGGATCGCCGTAGTTTCTCGTCTGTGTGCTTTTGCCCCCGGTTCCTGTGTTTTTTGACCTTTTGACTATTAAAGTCTTTTGTTTTGGAAAAGTCTGCGTTTGAGTCCTGCCTTCCACCCCTTCAACCCTGACAGAATGACGCGACCAAAGAAGGGCTCAGCAGACCCGCTGCCAGACTACGGTCCGGACTACCTGGACGTAAGGAGTCCCTTCTGGCAGCGGAAAACGAACTTCATCTTCGGTCCCAGGGGCTATCAGCTCGCCTGCCTCGAGCTCCGGGATCTGCTAAATCCTAAGAGGAGCCCTGGCCAGAGGAATAACAGACGTCCCGCTGGGCCGCCGCAGCGATCTCCCGTTCCCGCTGGGCCGCCGCAGCGATCTCCCGTTCCCGTTGGGCCGCCGCAGCGATCTCCCGTTCCCGCTGGGCCGCCGCAGCGATCTCCCGTTCCCGCTGGGCCGCCGCAGCGTTCTCCCGTTCCCGCTGGGCCGCCGCAGCGTTCTCCCGTTCCCGCTGGGCCGCCGCAGCGTTCTCCCGTTCCCGCTGGGCCGCCGCAGCGTTCTCCCGTTCCCGCTGGGCCGCCGCAGCGTTCTCCCGTTCCCGCTGGGCCGCCGCAGCGTTCTCCCGTTCCCGCTGGGCCGCCGCAGCGTTCTCCCGTTCCCGCTGGGCCGCCGCAGCGATCTCCCGTTCCGAGACTCTCAGCCATGCCCCCGACCCCCGAGCCAGCGCCACGATCCATGCCCCCGGTACCAGCGCCACGATCCATGCCCCCGGTACCAGCACCACGTTCCATGCCCCCGACCCGACCAGTACCGGCCCCACGCTCTATGCCCCCGACGCCCCCAGTCCCCGCTCCGAGACTCATGACCCCGACGCCCCCAGTCCCCGCTCCGAGACTCATGACCCCCGACGCCCCCCAGTCCCCCGCTCCGAGACTCATGACCCAGACGCACCCAGTCCCGCGCTCCGAGACTCATGACCCCCGACGCCCCCAGTCCCCGCTCCGAGACTCATGACCCCGACGGCCCCCAGTCCCCGCTCCGAGACTCATGACCCCGACGCCCCCAGTCCCCGCTCCGAGACTCAGGCTCCCTCCCTCCCATCCCATGGTCCTCTCCCACCCTCCCGTTGGTGATTTGAGGGCCGTCTGGGATCCGGCCCTTGAGGGGGGGGCTACGGGGTGGGTTATGGGGGGGGCTGAGCCGCCGCCGACTGCGGAGGTGTTCCGTGTCCCCGAGCCGGACCCGACTGCGGAGGTGTTCCGTGTCCCCGAGCCGGACCCGACTGCGGAGGTGTTCCGTGTCCCCGAGCCGACGACGACTGCGGAGGTGTTCCGTGTCCCCGAGCCGACGACGACTGCGGAGGTGTTCCGTGTCCCCGAGCCGACGACGACTGCGGAGGTGTTCCGTGTCCCCGAGCCGACGACGACTGCGGAGGTGTTCCGTGTCCCCGAGCCGCCGACGACGACTACCCCGGAGGTTTCCCGTGTCCCCGAGCCGGCGACGACGACTACCCCGGAGGTTTCCCGTGTCCCCGAGCCGGCGCCGCCGACTACCCCGGAGGTTTCCCGTGTCCCCGAGCCGGCGCCGCCGACTACCCCGGAGGTTTCCCGTGTCCCCGAGCTGCCGCCGACGACCCCGGAGGTTTCCCGTTTCTCAGAGCCTGCCATTCCTGAGACGTTCCGTGTCCTGTGGTCACCGCTCCGGAGCCGGCAAAAGGACCGCCCGCCGGGCCGACCCCCAGAGGCTCCCCGCTCGTCTGGCCGCCCGCCGGGCCGCCCGCCAGAGTTTCCCGGGTGGTCCGACCAACGTCTCGGGTTTCCCTCCCTCCCCTTGTTTCGCTCTAGTGTGAGCCGCCTGGAAGTCGGCCCTTGAGGGGGGGGTACTGTCACGGTGTGGTTTCACTTCCTGTTGTATTTTGTAGTTTTCTGCCACTCGTGTCCCCGGGTAACTTCACTTCCTGCCTTGTCTCGTCATCCCCTGTGTTCCTCTAATAGTTTCCACCTGTGTCCAATCACCTGCACCTCCCTTGTGTATTTAAGCAGTGTGTCTCCTGTGTCACTTGTCGCGTCATTGTCTTTCGTCTTGGATCGCCGTAGTTTCTCGTCTGTGTGCTTTTGCCCCCGGTTCCTGTGTTTTTTGACTATTAAAGTCTTTTGTTTTGGAAAAGTCTGCGTTTGAGTCCTGCCTTCCACCCCTTCAACCCTGACATACGTAAGCTATTTGTTTGGACCCACAGCCTGTTCTGAGCACGTGCAGTGGCTGACTTAACAGCTCATTTAATTGAAAGGCATTAATGATTTCAGGGTAATTAAAAACACAGGCTGACTACTACAGGAAGTGCCGGTAAATGTTAAAATATCCCAAACCACAGAATTTAGTCTCTTCCTGCCACTCCAACAACATACCCAATAAACACTCCCTCTTTTTTAGGCGCTATTCTAATCTGAGTCAATACAATCCGGCTGGTAAACATTTTTAAATATTTGTTCAAATATTGGTTCATCACATGCCATTAATGGGAGAAACACACCTCCTCTGATGAGTTCGTTTTTCGTTACAGTATATTTAAAGATATATTTATGAATATGGCTACACCCACTACAGGCCACCTGGGAATTAAATGGGTCAGAAATTACTGTCTTAGTAGCAAAGTGCATCTGGAAGCCATCCTCAACAGGAACAAAGAGAGGAATGGTGGAAAACAAACCCTGTAAGAATCAGCACAGGGAAGGAAAGGGACTTTTTCAAGCACTGGAGGAAAACAAGACGAGGACTCATCCCAGAGCTTCTAGTGGCAGCTGCACAAGGGTTGGGCTGTGCTTTGTGAAAGTTCCGCTCAGGCAGGATCAGGGGTTTTAGTAGAGATGCCTTTCTCTCAGGGGGGCGGCGGGCCACAGGCCACTGCAATGTGACAGACTGCAGGATTGTGTAAGAGCCCAGTTCGCTCTGCACATCGGTCTCCAGGGACAGAGAGTGACTCAAGTGGACAAGGGGACGGAGGGGTCAAAGGAGTAGGCGCTGTCACACTAAATTACCAAAGGCTCCTGCATATTTGCTCACACACCAGAATTTTGCTTACTCGGGCGCCTGAAGCTGCTGGTGGCAAGAACCGAAGGAGCTTTCTCTGGAGCTGTAGGAGGCCAAACCGTAAACTAATCGCTTCAACTATGACCTCTACTCTTAGGTCAAGTCTCTCATATCCGCCAGTAATGGATTATTACTCATTTTCTTTAGCCAAACTAAACAAAAGGACAAAAAACACGCAGCTTCTGAAAATCTTGTTGGAACAATTTTCCAATGAAGCACTGATCTTATCTTCTCGGTGAAATATTTCTCAAGCTAACTAATCAATAGGTTATCTCAAACAGAAATAAATGGAGACAAAAGGTCAATATCCCCTAACTTGTAGCTAGTTTAATCCAACATAAACATAATAAAGACAAATTTAAGCACCTGAATCAAAATATACATAAAGTCACTTCAAATTCAAGTTCTGGCTTTAAAGGTTTTCCATTCTAAGGCCCATTCTTGATACAATTCTTTCAAATATAGATCTTAAAAAGTGATGGACAAAAGGAATGTTCTCTTACCAACGCAGCAAACAAGCACAGTAACCAGCAGCAGCCCACCGTAGATGACACACTTGGGATCAGTCCAGAGCCATTTTCAGCGCCACAGACTGGCACGCCAAAGACTTAACCAAGAAAGGCTGCTGCAGGGAAGTCGATGAAAAGATGAATGAGAGAGTGGAAGGCTGAAGGGGGAGTCAGAGAGGACGAGTCTTTGTCAGATAGTAATGTAAAATCCATGTCAATATTGGATGTCTTGCTTTTGGCTGCAGCCAAACCACAGCAAAGACATGGATGCACTTCGAAGCGGACCGGACAACTGAAACCATTCAAAATGTAAAGAGGAGCAGACGGAGGAGTGAGAGTCCCTTCCTCAGTGCAGGATCATGATGTTTAGCAGGGGTAATGGCCTATAACTAGGGGTTTCAGCTGAGGTCAACGTGCATCTACACTCCCACGTTGTCCTGAGCAACTGTAATAAAGAGTAATGCAGACAGGAGTGTAAATCAGGAGTGTGTAGGTTCTTTCATGTAAAAATGCATTACTGAATAGGAATTTAAACGAGGCAGATACATGTTCTGCTTGGTCTTGCTCATAGTCAAATTTTTTGCTCCAGGGAATTAAAGCAATAGGCAAAGCAGTGGGGAGTGGTTCATTGGCTACAATTACTTTAGTGTAGAAGAGTTACCGCTTTCCAGCATGCGCACGCATCAATGCAGATATTTTCCTGCACGCATTTAGATATTGTAATCATGCACACCCATAAAAACAACAACACAAGGCAGAATTGTAGTTGGAAAATCGCGAACAGCTGCCAGAGAGTGGACGGACAGAACCTCATCTTACCTCTGCTCCGTGCACCGGGGGCCACGCCTGCCGCTCCTCACCGCTCCACCTGTGGCATTTCCAGCCCAGCTGTGTGTGTGTGTGTGTGTGTGTGTGTGTGTGTGTGTGTGTTCTGTGTGCACTGTCAGGGCACACGGTAGTATCCCCAGTCAGCGGCGTCCAGAAGAACAAAAACGAGCGCCGCGCGACTCCACAATTATCCGCTGCAGCTCAGGAACTGAACTCCTGTCGCTGCATCCCTGCAGAAGGAAACAGATTGTTTCTGATTCCCGAGGCTGCCTGGCTGCAGAAACACAAGCAGAACAGTCCAGACTTGTTCAGATGCCTGAAGGAACCCTTTCTGATCCCCCCCTTCCTTCGTACGTTATGCCCTCTCCTCTTGTCCCTCCCTGCTGCAGCCTGCAGGCAACGCACGTAACCACGCGCAGCCGAAACATTGGACAAACTATTTCGCTACTTCTCAGACTCTGAGAAGTCACGTGATTCCAGCAGATTTACATTATTTACGCTCGGTGAGGATACATAGACATATTTTACTAATTTATTTGTACAAATTAAAGTTTTACGTGAATTGCTGTTGGCCATGTGTTACAAAATTGCACCGCCACACCCCACACAAAAGATTAAAAATAGAAATACTTTCACCCCTTTCTTGACATCTTGATTGTTAATTCTGGTTCTCACAGTGATGCTTACTTGCCAATTGAAGTCCAAAGCTTTTACCCCAAAGGCGATTGGGATTTGACCAGTGAAAGACATTCTATTTTTATGTATTTATTTTCAGACCAAAATCAGCAGACATTTAAAGGGAGTAGTGCTAAAATGGAACTCAACCTCTAATATAAGTTAACATAAATTACACTTCCTCCTCATTCTTTGGAGACAGCTTCCCACCGTTGCCTCTCATTAGAGTGCTATTCATTGTTACCATGGTAATACCCCATTCTACTCTAAACTACGCTTTTAGTACCATATGATCCTTATTTCATGCATTTTTGGGTTTTCCATGTTACATTGCTATTCACCAATGGGTCTGAATGGTTGATGCTCCGCAGTGTGTTGGACTTTATATATTGTTGTCTTGCAGAAAGTATGCCGACACAAAGACATTTCTGTGAATTTGTTTTAGTAAAGTGACCATCTAGCATTAGATGATGATGATATATATGCAGGTGTACTCTTTTGTTATTTACTGTTCATATACCTCAGTAATGCCAGTGTGGGACAGTTTGTCATTAATGCATGTTTGCATCCGCTCGTGTTTATGATAAAAATAGATCATCTTAAAAACTGATTTACAGTTTAGCTTCTTCAGTTTTTAGAGAGACAGATAAGACAGCTTGGTATAAACCACCAACTATGCAGGCAAGCAGACAGAGCTCTAAGGAGTGTGTGAGGCAGATGTATTTGCCGCTCTGAATCTTTGAAACAGCCAACCAAGCTCAACGCGTAACCATGCTGCTTCAATTAAAAACACATTCCAGAACTTGTGTTGGTTTGGAACAACAGAGACAATATGACTTGGGGTTTAAACTGATTCAATTTGCACTTTGTTCACAATTCTCCACCTCTACAAAGTGTCACGTGACATCCCTTAATCATAACCAAGCTAAAACAGTAAACAGGCTGAAGGTTACGAGGGCGACTTGGTGCCGGGGGTGCATTTTGCTTGCAGACAGTTACCAAACTCTCATCTGCTTTGATGGATTTGTTCAGTTCAGTTTGTTCCGCAGCAGCTAATTTGATTTCACCATTTGACACGACTTGTTAAACAGGGTTTAAAACATTCAAAGTTCATGTTCAGAAAACCCAACTGAAAATATCAGGTCCACAATGTTGAGGAGTAAAGTTGGCATGACGTGCAGCTTGTTGTAATATGTGATCATAAACTACTGTCAACAGGTGTGAGCACGTTTTTTTATGAGGAAATATTACATCATCATTTCACTACATAGAGGTACATTAAGAGATGACCTAAGCAAACATGCAACAGTGTCATCTCTTTGACAGTATTATCATAATGTGATTCATTGATCCTTTAAAAAAAGTTATATACATCTTTCAGATAAGTATAATAATAATAATGATTTTGTTTGCTCTCCTCTTGAAATTGAAATAATCTGTAATTCTGAAAGAAAGATTTGAGGAAATCCGTGCACCGGGGGCCAGGCCTGCCGCTCCTCCCCGCTCCACCTGTGGCATGTCCAGCCCAGCTGTGTTTACTTGTTCCTTATAGGTGTTCCTACGTTGGTTGTGGTGCTGGACCCAAGAGCAGAATACAGAGCAGAACAGGTTCAACACTCTTTATTATAAAGAACCAGGAGGTGCAATGTTGTGAGCTGTCTGCAGGGATGGTCGGCCGGCTGGAGCAGGCTTAGTCCACAATGCAGGTTCTGGAGAACCTGAGGCTGAGGCAGACAAAAGACGTTAACAACGTGGCAAGGATTGTGTTAGCCGTAGCATTAGTGCCGGGTTTGTGAACTGACGATCTGGCGGGGAATGAGTGGAAGGCTGGAGAATATCAAGCCTGGAGCTTGATTACCGAATGCCTTATAGCTGTGCCGGTCAGTCGCTGGACACTTACAATAAGTGCATTCAATCAAGAGGTATAGAACCAGAAATTCTTGGAGAAAGCCAAACTAAAGGTGCTAACTATTTTAGCACTTACAATGGTATAAGGCATAGTTTGTAGTTCATTCCAGTTCATTCCAGCATTTAGGAGCCAGGACAACAACGAGTCAGGATTTTGTCGCGTGTTTCGCTCTCTGTGAGTGAGCAGCGCGCAGATTTGCCGATGCAGAGCAAAGTGAGCGGGCAGGGACGAGGGTTTGACTACGTTCTGGATGTAGACCGGACCCTGATCTGTCAGCTGCACGGTACGCGTATACCAATGTCAGGACAGAGTTGTCGAAGGTAAGGGTCAGGTCGTTGGTGAAGGAGTCTTTCCCTGAAAGGAGGAGAAGTTCAGTCTTGTCAAGGTTAATCTTCAGGTGGTGAGCCGCCATCCAGTGAGAGATGTCAGTCAAACAGGATTCGTGCCGCTACCTGTATCTCTGATTGGGAAAAAGACAGGATTAGTTGGGTGTCATCAGCATAGCCATAAGCCATGCGAGGGGATGACAGGGCCGAGACAGTTGGTGTACAAAGAGAAGAGGAGGGGAACCAGGACAGAGCCTGAATGATGACATGTAACGTCTGGCTTCTTTGCTTTCTTATGTGATTAACACTGATCTCCCTATTCTCTCTCTCTCTCTCTCTCTCTCTCTCTCTCTCCTCCAACACTGGCTGCTCTACATGTTTAGTTGATTTAACTGGTTTTAAAGATGTGTGACAAAATGGGGGATAGGAGAGATTACGGGAGAAAGCAGTTTTTCCCCTATAGGGAGTCATTCTCCCTTTTAGCTTTATAAATATACTATTGTGAGGGTGGATTTGAGGTCTTTTCTGTCTTTGTGTATGCAAGTCTGAGTGCAGACCTGTGACAAGCGGTAAATCGGCTTAGTTTCATGTTATTGGAGAGAGAACCAAAGCTCAGAGTTACCCTGAAGAACGATTTGGTTGTGACCCTGCTGGGATTGACATAAAGAAGGGATGGTTTACTTTATCACAAGGCAGAAATTCACAGGCTCTCTCCCCGTTGTTTCTGGCAGAGTTAGATATGAGAGAAGCTGATAAAAGCAAGGCTCTCTTGCTGTGATGCTCATTCCTCTGCAGCTTTCTCCCCAAATAGGGTCTGGGTGACAAATAGCACAGTGACGTGCTCCTGTACCTCCATTACAGAGTCCCGTGATTAAAATATCGGAAAGGAGAAAGCAAAAACACTGGTGTCTTCCAAGCGTTTACAATCTTATACGTTGCGCTTGCACTACAAGAATATTATCAAAATAATTTAACAGGTTTAGCAAGAAAACAGTATACGAGTGGCCAAAGAGCTGAAACAGAAATCATGTCATGAACAAATGTTTTTTTTGTTGCACTTTGTAACATAGATGCACAAACTTCACACTTTATTCAGGTGGTCCAAGTTGGATATCAAAGCACTGTTCAGTTGAAAGTCACAGTTGTTAATGGGTTGTTTATTTTTGTAATACAGTAGACTGGGCACAAGCTTCAGGTTGGGCCAGGAGCAGTTGCCAGGCAACCAGCGAAGACACCCAGTAAGTTACGGATCTGTATAAGAAAAGTACACAAGTCTAGTAATTAAAACCTTCCGTAAAATGGTAAATTGTTGCTTTTGTGCAGATTAAACAAACAAGCTACAACTTGTGAGCTTTAGATGTGCTGGTAGGTCACATGCGTTGCCTTTGGGCCTCATGCAGAGCCAGACAAGCTGATTTGTTCCAATTATTGGCATTATTTTTGTTTTAAGTCAAGGTTATAATTACATAACCTGGTGGCCTACACCTACTTTGTGTAGAAGGTTATAGAACGAAGACACGTCTAAATAAAACGGCTGAGGGAAAGTGGTCTGAGGTTGTTTGCTGCTCTGAAGCCAGCTAGCATCATACTTTTGCA